ACCGAGTTGTAATTACTAATTATGCGCGAGTCGTAAATATCCTCTCAGCTGTCATCCGAGAGCTTCTATGTCATTGACGGCGAAAGAGAAAACAGGGATATCGTAAATTTCTCAAATCGCCTCAACAACGCAGACTCGTCAGGCTAGGGCGCTAACGAATGTCGTAAGTCAGTCGTTTTTAATTCGAATCGTTCCGAGTAACCTCTGGCGAAGCGAGATCACCTTCGGATGGATAGATTTCGAATTCGATTTCGTAAGCGGCGTAAATTACGTCCGAAGGGAAGACCCGCTATCTCATTCCATGTGTATCGTTTTTCTTCGTTCATGTTGTTTATTTCCCGGGTAGAAATCACGCAGATAAGGTTGATTCGAAGCGGCGTTAAATGATCGAATGCAGGAGGAGGTGCTTCTACGCGCTGGAAGTTATTATCTATCCGTCGATCCTGTACAACGACGGGTATTCTTTTTTTCCTCTGATATCCAACCTTATCCGAATGTTGCGAGAATCTAATCTTCCGTCGCCAATATTTCCGATGCCCAGGATTTCCTAGCCGCCGATCTTTCAACTCTCTATCCTGATCACGAGGACCCGCTTCCTGTGTCTCGGCGTTTACTCAAAGGCCGAAATATCCGATGAGATCTACGGCATCATATCTCGGACGATTCGAATGAGAAGGATGATACGCGATTCGTAGAGGTAGACACAAGACTTTCTGGATTTTGTCATCCTTATGAGCAGCGGAACGTTTTCCTCCCCGAGCGCACCAATCTTTACAAATAAGAGTGAGGAGCTAACGGTCGGTCTGGTTTCCGTAGCTGAATCTCATACTCGGAGGTGAATTCGAGAAATTCGGTTTCTAACCTCGGTCTCCAGTCGACCGATCCGTTTGTGACGATCCAGCTCTTAGCCCTGATTTTGCCCGGGGTAGACCATACCTCGTGCTATTCGAGCGATTGACCGAGCTTCCCAGGGTGTGTGGATCACATCGGGAATCGTCGTCATGTGTGGGAGCGACCGCGCGAAACCCTTCGACCCCGCTCCGGCATGGACGATTCATTGTTTTCCCAAATTGGAAGCACGCTGGGGAAGAAGGAGGCGGCTGAGGTGGTACGTGACTGAATTCCATACGACCAACCGCATGCAGAAGATCATTAGGCTTCTGCGAGCGACTCAGGACACGCGGCCGGGATGTCGTGCGCCCGGTACCATCCATCATGTCATATCGACAGCCTATACATAGAAGGAACTCCTCACGGTGAAGAAGCTGCAACGGCAGCATCGGCAGCTATCGCCGCCTTAGTCTCGTACCAAGATTTAGGATTCTCAGCTCGCTGCTTTCGGAAAATTCGGGTGAGGATCGCTTGCCGCATTCGTTCCCACCTCATCGGACTCATCCGACTAGTGAGGGACAGGCTTCATTTTGGGAGCGGCCAGGAGCCCTGAATGAATGAGCTCGTTTAGATAAGGAATTCAAAATTCATTCACGGGCTCGTAAACGCCTAGTTGCGGAAAACAACCGGTCCGCTCACAGCGAAGGCTTTTGCTGTTGGACAAGGAAAGGAAACAACGAGATAAAGCACAGATAAGCGAAGGTAGGAGTCAGCGAAACAAAGAAAGAGAGTCCCGTCAGAAAGAGAATTACTCCAACAACGGCAATCTACCGCTTGTAGAGAGGCACAACTAGCCGCCCACTGACGATCGTGTCATCCGGTCTGAGCGAGTCGGCGTGATCTCTCTCTAATTGCAGCGGGGGGAGTTTTCGGCGCTCAGTAGATTCCTGTGAAAGCTTGCACGGTGTCATTCGAAACTTTAGAAGGAAAATGATCCCGGCAGCCCATGAACAGCAGGCTGGAAGCGGCGACACCCATAGAGGAGCACAGGGCCACGAGTCGGACAATTTGAATTATTGAACAGCTCGTGGATTACGTGGACGAGATGCTGGATAGATATTTCGTGAGTCGGGGGACTCTGTCGAGGAACTGACGTGCTGATAAGAGGCGGAAGCTCTCACAGTTCGATTTTCTCCCGATATTCCGGCGAACGTAGAGTTCATGGCATGGATCCGAGGACTTAGTTCGGAGATCCGGAGCGGAAATCGAGCAGTCGACGGCAAGAATCCCAGATTGAGAGTTGCCTTGTTTACGCAGAGTTTATGGCTTTGCGACCCGATTCGAAGTGGATGAATTTCCTGGCTGATCAGAGGATCGATCTATCGATCGATTCGAGGGACAGGCGATCGACAATCGCCGTGAGGGCGTGTCGGATATTTTTCTTCGGAAACAATCGACCAACCGGGTTCGACTGCGGGAGATTTATTGTATTACAGCCTCAGCTAGCCAAAGACATCACCACAGATTCCTCTGGCTAACACGAGCGGACTTCATCTGACGGAGTTGAGTTGTAAATTATGCCGCAGACTCAAAAAAAACGATGCGGCCGCCGCCGCGCGCCGCCGCCGACGACGAGGGAATATTGAACGCAGAAGAATGAAAGGCGTGCATGAGATCGTGTTTGTGTGAGCGAATGTATGTTGATGGTAAGTGGTCGTCGTCGTGGTATGTACACAGCAGCGACATTTATGACCCGTCGTTCGGTCGCATATATAATGCTCATGGCGTCTCATGTGCCACGCTCAACACTCCCGACAGATGGCTTTCGAAGCATGGGCATTTCTCCAATTTAAACCCTTAACAATTCTGCTCTAGCATCGTAAATAACACAGCCGAGCAGGGACTTCGAAAAGTAGATTGATAGACGAAGTGTACGCCAGGGAGCGAGTGAGCGGCTAGAAGTTATCGCGCATTGTGAAGAAGCATGGTGTGACTTCACGGTGACAAATGACCTCGGGTCTCACGGAAGGCTCTCACAAGTAAACCTTCACTTTTGGTGAGTCGCAAAGCTGATCCAGACTATGTCCATCGGATTCCTCGTCGAAAATTAGGAAAAAAAACGGAGTCTTAGCTGCTGACCGCCACAGGGGCCGGAGCGGCAAACAGGAGAAATCTCCAATTTCAATATGGGACTATATGGGGCAAGTCTCTCAATTCAAGCCGATAACATCCCAGAAGGGATTTTCTGCATGCATTTCGATCACGCGAGCTGGAAAAGGACAGGGAGACCCACAAATAAAGATATTCGGCGATCCATCGCCTAAATTTTTCTTCGATGATGACATTGATTTTTGCTGGGTCTCAAGTCTCTCCGCTGCAGTCGATGTGTAAATCATCGGCGAATGCGTGACGGAAGCATATACTACGCTCACAGTGGGCACACCTGATGAGGGCCCCTGTGGCGGTCAGCAGCTAAGACTCCGTTTTTTTCCTAATTTTCGACGAGGAATCCGATGGACATAGTCTGGATCAGCTTTGCGATTCACCAAAAGTGAAGGTTTACTTGTCAGACGAAGAAGAGGAAGTTCTTGGGGCAATAGCTGTTATCGACGCGTTTGGATGCGAAATTTCTCCTTAACCGCGGAGCGATGATCATCAGATGTGGGATGCTGAATCGCGAGAGATCTCGAGTGATCTCGAGTGGAAGTGGGGAAAGCCTTATCCGAACCTCACTCCCGGCAGCGGGTCATCCTTAAGGGGAATTCATCGACTCTGCCGAATATTCCGGATTGTCGATGACTTCCGGAATGCTGCGATCTCGCGTCAAGCGAGTCGAGTGCATTCTCGATCGTTTGAGCGTCTGACTCACAAAGCGGCTGAGTGATGGTCGCTCGGCTGCCTGTCTGGTCATCAGGATGGATTGTTCGCCGTTTTAGAGAGACGGGTGCGGGTCTACACAGCGTGACTCCACTCAGTCAAGCTCGACGAGCAGCCTGCGTGCCAGGTAGATCATCGCCCGGAGCAAGGGAGTCCTTCAGGAACAGAGGCGAGGAGCCGCCACGTGCCGATATGTCAGATCACATCTTGAACGACAGCGGACTTGACAGTCAGGACATCGAGGATCCAATTTGCGTGCGCTACTCAAATCTCCTACAGTGTTGTATTTGGTTTCGGCGTACTCATGTCTAAACGAAGCCTCTCTCCTGCCACCGATGGATCGCTCTCGGGGGAATTACTCCGATCCATGATGTCCGACAGACTTTTTCTTGATCATTTTCTCTCGTCGTCCCAGATTCAACCTCTCAATAGTTTGAAGAGTGGGATGGAGTTCCCTTAGACAGAATTCTTCGGACTCCACCGTGAGAAACACTGTGGCTCAGGCCAAAGAACTCGAGAAGAACTTCGTAGCCCGAAGTACCCTTCTCGGATTCCCTTCGATTATTCCTCTGTTTGGATGCCGTCGATCCCGACCGTCGCGTCGATTCATGCCACCGGTACTCTCGGAATCATGTTCCAATTGGGAGGGTGGCTCACAGGCTGAGTGAAGCAGCGATCATAGTTCGAGACCCGGGAACGCTTGTGATTCCTCGAGCACTAGAGCCGCCCGTCGAGGCTCTGATTTCGTCTTCAATGAAGCTGGAAATCATTCGGAGACGTGACCGCGAATAGATGTCATTTATTGGACCGTCTTCCCTCGAAGCGTATCCCGCGGACTGGGCAGATTTGGTTACCGCTGATATCCGGGGAGGCTTCTGAAGTTGTAAGTGACACTCTCAAGGACCCGATAGATTGATTCGCTGCGCGCAGCCCGAAATCCATCCCGTATACCGCACTTATTCTTATTGAATGGCATGCCGTTCAATTTTTCGATACCCGCACGGGGCGTTGGTTTATTGGAGTACACTGTACTATTGAAGGATGCCGCTCTATTTTCCAAACTTTCGTAAGAGCGCCGATCTATTAGAGCATGCCAGTGGGTGGGGCATGCCGTTCCTTAAGGATAAATACGGCAAAAGCCGCATCGACGGGTTTTCCTGAACCGAACGGATCTTACATCGAGAGAAATTCACTTACCGGGCCGAGGGCCACAAGAGTCTCCCGGGAGCGGGCACTCTGATTGAGGATTCTAGTCATCAGAGAGTCAAGCAAAAATCCACCACGGTCGGAAGTCAATCTTAATTTATTCCATTACTCGTAAGCAAACTTCAGCTCGAAATGTCCTACGGAAATACGGTTCGAAAATATGCGGTCGCTATGTGGTAACAGTCTACCTCGGGAAACTCCGATAATCTCAGAGTTCTTCTTCCTATCAAGAACCATGACCTCCCCGATTCGGATTCAAACTATCACAAGATGATGGAGCCCATCGATCTCTTTCGAAGAAAATTCGTCGTTCGGACACGGACTCCGTGCTCAATCCAGAGTGTCCTGGATTGACCCGAATTCAAGTCGGCTGAGGTTCTGGAAGGCATGGATATTGACTGGACTATATACATCCCCGGAGGATTCCACCAGCCGAGGAAATTCGAGCGATCCTTGGGTGGCGTCACGCTCTTGAAGGTTTTTTACACGTTCCGGGAGTATGCGCCGTTCACCGAGCGCTAGAGTGGATCAACAAGTGCCTGCTCGTCGTCGGTTTCATCGATCGCGGCCGACCAGTCCTGAGCTTCAGCACTTCCGAAGAACAAGAAAACGACAGCTCCAACAACATTCATGATCGATCCCACAATGAAGATGATGCGCCAATGTTTGATATCCTCCTGAAAGTTCGGAATCGGAGTCACGTCCCGCCGCAACATTCCATAAACATTGAAGCTCGCGCGCCATGATGAATAAAAAGCTGCGTCATCCTTACCGTTTCATCAATGTACCAACCCACGACGATGGGCACGAGCACGAGAGCGAGATTCGCGAAGACATTCAGCAGAGCACTCACTGCGCCGGCGTACTCAGCTGCGAGATCCATTGGCAACGCCATGTCTGAACCGCCGTACGTACCCCAGACGATACAGGTTGCGATTAAGATTATCACAACGAGCTTGAGGTCCTGCCCGACTTCCGTCATCAGCAGATTCAGAGCCGCAGGCCCGATCGTTGCTAGAGTAGCAAAGGTTTTCCGGACGCCGTTGATCGAACATTCCGCTTGCAGGAGTCGATCCGCTAAGGCCGATGAAGTGAGCGCCACGATCGTCGTTGACACGTTCGAGATCCCATTCACCCAGCCGATCTACGAGAATCGAGGAATCAAAAATGTTATGAATCTGACGCCTGACGACCAATCCGAGGGCTTAATCATTATGTTGTACATATATCAGGAAAGCGTCCATGAACGAATTTGATCCTACGAGTGTAGGGAAATCCGAGAAAAGCGCTTACGTCCGAGAGGCTGAGGCTGAACATATGAGCGAGGAACGAAGGTATGTAAGTGAAATATATCGCGTAAAATATATTGACGCAAAATGTCCGAAAGCATAGGACGATGACGGGACCAGAACGAATGATTTTCGACCATGGAATCTGGAAGTAAGCATTTGAATCAATCTCTGACCATTCCATTGCTCCATTGGTCCATTGCTCCACCGAGCTGAGGTCAGGGAAATCCTCACGCGGAGGATTCCTGACCCGCGTGAGTCGAAGCCTCCGGGGACGAGATAATCATACGATGAATGAAATTCACAAATTCGTCCCAAGCTCCCAATTCCGAAGTGAACGTTTCCTCGGTCCGCCTGAACTCACGTGTCGATTCCTTTCGAAATTTCCCTCTCGTTCCTCGAGAATTTTCATTTTCTCTTCTTCGGATATCCACCAGTGCTTCTCCGGAGAGCTTGCCACAACGAAATACCACAACAGAGACCAAATCACGCCAACGGCGCCTGAAATGCAGGGAAGTGAGAATGCAATGTCGCCCTCGAATTGAGAACGAGCTCTGTTGATCGCATTTCCTATTTTAGCAAAAACTCACCGGTACAATAAAAAACATACTCCCAACCCAACTTGTCACAAATTATTCCTGCTAGAATGTTGGCTACGATCGGACCGATGCTCCAGCCTGAGCACGCGAATGTGATCATGAGGGTCCGCTCCTGTATCGGGCTCCAGCGACAAATTAGGGCATTTGCGCCCGGGAGGATGACACCCTGGAAGATCCGACGCGGCTCATTTCCCAGAATTTGGGTGGTGTGTTCCTTGGGGTCAAGTCGAATTAGGCGATTCAATAATTTCACTCGATTCGAAATATCTCCGTATGTGGAAGCACCCACCGCGGCAACACCGCTGAGGACCCGGGACGCTATGAACGCGTACGGGCTCCATTTGGCGATGAAAGGTGCGCACAAGCTAATGAGTGACATGAAGAAAACACCGTATCCCAGCACCCATTTGAGGGAAAATGATTCCGCCAAATGTCCCGCAGGCATCAAAGACAGCAGAATTCCAATATAGACCGAGTTCAGGATCCATCCTTGCAGGGTTGCATCCCAAGACAGGCGGCCCGGATGCTCGATCTGAAACTTTTAGTGAAGGGGATCAAGATCCATTGTGGTCGGATCTTTTATCCCTGATATTGATATTCGTTGCAGCGGATCATGTAGGATTCCTGAATAGAGCGTGGGTTTTTGCGCGTTTAATTACATTTTCGGCCAGGTGCCGCAGCATAGGATCATGGTGAGTGATATTCGTCTGGTTGACCATGGCAATGATTGTGATACTCATGGACGATCGGGAGGCGGAATCCAAGGCGAATGCTACACAAACCATGACCACGATTAAGTAGCGAATCGCGAAAGTCGCCATCGCGTCTCCAATGTGAGCGTCCTTCTACAATGAAATTAGATTCTCCCGCCCCCTCGGAGCCACGTGGGAAGTCCCAACCTGGAATGAAGGAATATTTTGAGACTTCCGAATATTGTTCTGTACCGAGCGGATGCCCAGCAGTACGTGGACCCATAGAACACTACGAATAATTCCCGATTCTGAAACAGGTTCGATCTATTCCCAAGAAGTTATGATGCTTCGGTTCCCTGAATCGACCCCGACTTTGAGGGCAGAGTCTAGACTAACTAAGAGCCGGAGACATCGCTCCCCATGACGGCGGGCTAGTTCTGAGTTCAAAGCTCGTAGCGCGATTTGAACTGCGGGACGAGCTGCTCGATTTTTCGGCTTCCGGGGCGCTCAGGATAAACTTCTGGGATTAAGATCTACAAGCTGGCTTATGCAATGAAAGCAGCGCTGCCTTGGACCTCACACCATATGACTCACTCGAGCGTCCTGCTCTGTCTGAGCCTCCGGAGAAACTTTCTCGGGACTGGTCGTTGGGTCTTCGGACAGACATCACAGTGTGGAAAAGATCTGTGTGACAAATCAGGAGCTCTGACTCCGTAAAGCTTCTACGTGACTGGAACTCACCCCATCAAATTACGTCACGAATCAATCTGCATTGCGATGCGCACGGGAATTCAAGCCGAGTTCGCAGCTGGCGCTAAGTGACAGGGGTGAACGGAGCGCCCTCTCGTGCCAGGCCACAAGTAGAGGCTGACAACTAGCGACGATGCGGAGCACAGCCCGGAATCTTCGCCGCCGCTGGGAATGCGCGATTAGATTGTCGTCACTCCGCCGCGCGTGAGAAATACGGCTACTCAAGGAAAAAGCGTACGGTGGAAACTACGGGACTTCATCATGCTCGATGCACACTCGCCTAGCCCGACGGCGATTCTCTCGGGAGATTCGCGCAGTCCGACTCTCTCCGACGATTAAAGAAAATTCCGTTGTTTAGCCTCTCCCTGAGCGGGACCTATTCCTTCCTTAGGATGTCGCCGTCTGAGATTCCGTCCGAGGGAATCGAGCCTGTTCAATCCGGCCTGTCCGGCTTACCAATGAGGGACCGAAACATGGAATGCGGGCTATTTTGGGAGTTTCTCCCGCGAAACCTCTCACTGCTCTCGTTGGAAGCGTCCCGTTCAATCGCGACTCAGGGAATGGCGATTTGTTTTTATTATTCGGGGCTATCCCGCTCAATTCTGACTTCGATCCCGGGACCCGTTGTCCCGGTTCCGATCTGATTCATTGTGCTCACGATCGCTATCGGGTCTCGGTGCCATATTTTGAGGATACCTCATGCCCTCCATGAGCCTCTCCCCCGACCCACGTGCGCGGGCGATCAACTCCACAGTCGTTTCGACCTCAGAGGTGGCTCGCCGACCTTCGTGGGCATCTCAGAGACCATTTCTCAGGCTTCTCGACGCAGTCCTCAACACTTGACCATCAGCGAGAGCTGAGTAGACTCCCGCATCAGCTTCTCGCTTCAGATCTGGGAGGATAATTCAAAAAATCTCTACGCCGGTCATCGTCATCGCGCACGGACCCTCCCAGAAGCGATTTGCGATAATTCCCGCGCCGAAAGAATCTTCTCTTCTCGCAAGCCCGTCGTGGTTTCCGAAGCGCCAGTATGAGAATCGAGAATTTCACTCGCAAGCCGAGCTCAACTTTTGACGTAATGGCGGATTATGATTCTTCCTCGGTAGCGTTGCGGATTTTGCGATGACAGACGGGGACATCTCTGGTCCTGTTGGCTTCCAGTCCAGTTCGAGCCTTCAAGCTGCAACCGCCGGCATTTCAGAGAATGGCTAAATGGCATCTCAGAGACCGGCCGAGAAAGTGGAGTAAAGGGTGATCCGCGCCTCCAGGTACGCCACTGCTCGAGGGCTCCAATATTGAGAGTGTTCTTCGTGACTCCAGCCTCGGTGTGACGTCGCTTCCTGAGTTCCCGTGCTGCCTCTCGAAAAAATTCTCCACCAGATCTGGATCGACGCCCTCATGGCCTTGGAAGAATCTTACAACGAGCGGTCGTTCCTCTTTCTCAGAATTCCGAGCAATGTTCCAGCGGGTTATTCCGGCTTTTGAATCGGAGAACCGAACTGTGGCTCCGACGAATAAGTCATGTTCCGCGAATTAGTCTAGAATCGATCCGAGCATCTGGTCTAGTTGGAGAACCGGAGAAAAATCGCGATATCGGGTACGTTTCCCTAGTGAATTCCGAAATGCAGAACGCTCGTCTGTGGAAATCTATCTCGAGCGCCGATTAACAGCGTGCTCCTGTCGTGGCGCGGACTCAGAGGGTATCCGAGGAGTAGTGGTAGTGGGGTTTCATCCGAGAAGCAGTCGGCTCAGAGAATTCGGATGCTCCAATATTCTCGACGGAAAAGTCTCGGTCGTCAACTTCCGGTCATCAGTGATCCCGCTCTCGCTAGAAAACCCATTTAATCTTCGACGCGGACATTCCCAACAGGGATAAAAATTATCAGAGTGTTTTGAGGGGTGTCAACTTGTTTCGAACGTCTGCAACAGCTGTCAGTTGCACGATCCCGAGCAGTAATTTTCCGAGTCAGTGCTCTTCCAAATCCAATGGGGAGATCCAAGAAGCTCCGATCGCTGGGCAAGGTGTGAACTTGAAAAATGCCCCTCTGGCGATTTGAGTATCCAGTGATGGCAGATAGTCATGGAGTCGTCTCATCGAGCGACTGTGGACCGAAGCGCAAACATCGAGGTGCTCTCGATATACCTTGAGTCGCCCGAGGAGTCCGAAACTGTGTCAGAGCAGCTTCGGTGACGGCTAATCAGACGTTTCTCCCACCTGCAGGGCATCCGGCGCAGAGTCAGATCGGCGATGTTTGGAGGCTTCGCCGAGGCGCTTGCCTACCACACACCTCCGAGCACTGAGCTGCATTCCTCCACTCTCGACCTCAAGTCACTACAGGGGACTCTCTTCTCCGCAAACCACGCTGCACTCAAAGATGTTCGGGAAGACTTCATTCTTATCGCGGAATGCAACGAACAGCATGGGCCTACACCCTTGGTCATCATACCGAATACGGTGATGGTTCACTCCGAAGAGATTTCAACTCTTGCGATTTCATTATTGTCTGTGGACTATCAGCATGTGGCGTCAGGGAGTTTCCCTCGCGCTGACACCCAGATCCTGCTGCCAGAAATACGGGAAAATCTCCACGTACTCGTAAACTATACGGTGCTCTTGGACGCGAAGGTGAGGATCCGGGTCGAAACAAGCGTTCCCGTCAGCTCGGGGGTCCTTCTAAATCGGACGTTTCGATTTTCAGGCTCGCGGTTTTGTGCGGCCGCTGTGTGTGGCGTACGTCTCTCATAATAAGCACAAGTTACTCAAGGCCATCGGGAAAGTTCGCAGCGCTCTTCTCGATGTCTGTAATCTCATTAAAACACAGAATCTCCCTCACTTCATCAAAGGATTGAAGAACGGTGTCACCAACAGTCGTTAGTATCGTCCCCTCTCGGGACTCAGGGGGTCTGAATGCTTGCAAATGATGGATGGGACCTGGGATCGTTTCCCGATCAAAGACTCCACCGAAGGGTTTTGAGTGATTGTCGGACACCTGGGGCTGATATCGAATCGAAGCATATTCTTCCCCGCAGAACTGGAGGGACCTGCTCTTGTAAAATACGAAACGACTGTCGCCAACTCTCTCAAAGAAGCAGAGAATGCAAAACTAGTGAGCCAGGTGAGTGTCATTGACCGATAAGCCCGTTCGAGAGCATAGTTCGTGAGGGTCCAGGAAGGGGTCTGGCCAAGTACGTGGACGTAACGCTACCTCGCAACCTACAGGAAAAATCAGAAATGTTCGAAGAATCACTGAAAGCGCTCCGTGAGAAGCTCGGGGTTGAGCCCGTCGGAGCCCCATCAACGGGACTCTGTCCTTTGGCTCACATCGCGCCCCTAGGTTTCGCGCTGGCGGTAAAATGGATGCTCGAATTACTCTGCAAAATGCACAAATATGTCCCAAGCGACGAGGTGAGTCCTTACCATCTATGCTGACCCTGAGTACTTTGGATGGGTAGCGGGCAGTCGACGCTTGTCGTCGCATTTGAGAGTAAATTTGTTCCGAGAGATTCGACAGGAGAAACTCTCTTCTCAGGTGAAATTGCCTTCGGTGATCTACGGAGCATGTCCGTCGAATGAGGACTGCCGAAATTTCGAGATTTACGAAGGAATGTTCGACATTCTATCGGATCTCAGCCTCAAAGTCACCAAAAAAGGTGACTTGGAATACACCGGTGGCGAAGTATACTGCTATATGCACCTGAATACTCTCTACACATTGCCGTCTTACGTCGTTCCTTCGGCGATCCTCTTCGATGCGTACAAAGTCATCAACAGGTGAGGATGGAACCTCGATTACGTCATGTTCTCCCTTCGGATCTTGGGAGACCGAGCCGAATCGTCTTTTCCCCCTCCCCCATAATCCTCGATTCGTTGTATCGATCGAGCCCGGATCCCATGAATAATCAGTTTCCGATGAAGAATCATCAGACGGATGGAGTCTTGGAGCAGATCTAATCGCAAGCTTCTCTCGTAGATTGGACACGTCGACCCTGCACAATATTTTCTATTCTCTCTGCGTGAGACGGCCTCTAGTTCTGTACCCCGGTGAGAAAGCGGTGAATTTCGCCCGATTTCTCGCTCTGTTCGTACCCCGGCGAGTGGAGGTGAGTGGCTTCCGCAGTCGGACCGAAGTCCTCGGCCGGGATCCGTCCTCGTCCTACTCGACCACATATCCATTCTGAGATCACTCTCAATTATAAGAGTTCCTAGATCTCGAACATTTCATATTTATCGACCACCACATCCACATGAGAGAAGGGGAACCGCCTCTCATGATTTCCCCCAGCCGTCACAGGGCAGGGGGACTTGGAAATGAAGATACTGCAATCGAGAGGCGTGGAACTCAAAAACGTCTGAAGGGGAACCCTACTCTGATTGTATGATTTGCTATATATTTCCAGGAGAACGTGAAGCTTTACGTTGATGAACCATCGATCGGAGCAGACTGTGCTCTTGCGGCATTCCGGGAGGGGGTGGATCCAAACCTGTATAAAAAGAAATGTTCGGTGCTTTGCGTCGAAACTTTTGACTTTCTCGGAACCAAGTACAACGGACATCTGCTCAGCTCGCTATGGCGCAGAATTCAGATGGTGGGTTGAGTTTATCCAGCGACGGCTTCGATTTCCTCGGACTAATTACAACCCTGACTTTCCCGAAACGTAAACCCTGCTCTTATGCCAATCTCTCGTTTCCTCCGTAGGTTCGAGAACAACCGCAGATGCTCACTGCTCTCATTGCTTCGTTCCTGTGCGAGCTCGAACTCCATTCTTTGTCGACAAGACCTCTCTCCACTTGCGACGCCAGCATCTTGAAGGTAGGCTCCCGCCACCTGGACCCTATCTCAAGGTACTGATTTCCGGGTATGGCTCTGAGGCATTTATTTTTTTCTGTCATTTCAGAACTACGATAGGCTTTTCCAGTGATACGCTACCGAAGATCACGGTGTCCGATGAGGCTCTCGGCTCCCGGACTTCCGGCGGCGACGGCTACCGCTGAAACCGTTGTGCGACACGTCGCTCCCCGTCTTACAGTGATGGCTTTACAGAATTCTGGGCGTGGTTTCGAGCTCAGATGTGAATACAGCCAAGCGGCGACATCCTTCTTGTTCACGGAGCGTCTGATCGTTAATACGGCCTCCACCACGCACCAAGAATCCATCGGGGAACCTTGCTCCGCGAAGCTCCACGGCGCCTTCCCGAGAAGATCTCCACCCTCTGCGAATCGATCATTATCGATCATTCGGAAACATGTTAGATTTGGTCGGAATTTAATTTCTGCGAGTTGTTGATGATCGGCCCAAGAGAGCTCGACTCCACGGATCGGCTGTCGATTCGATAAGCGGTGGCACGTAATTCAACCACGGCAGAGAGAAATCTGCGTGATGATTCTTCTCAAAGTAGGAAAATAAAGGCAAGAATTGTTCGTGAGATACTTGCGATCTCCGATGTCCCTCACCGAAGCTGATCTTTCGATTCTTTCACAAACAGATGGCAAGGGCTTACATAATCTGATGTTGACTGCGAAAGATATCTCCTCCGTGGAAGATTATGTCTACTGTCTGAAGACGATAGCAGGATCCCTCACAACGGGAGACGTGGACCAGATCGACAAGATAAACAATCGCTCCGTGCAAAGTCGCCCCGGGCACTGAGCTTCTAGAGGCATTACAATCATCGATGGTCTCATGTAATGCACCACATATCACCACCCTCTGTGTGAACAACGCTTGAGATTGGATACGTTCATTCTGGATTTCGCCTTGGAGTGGCGCGATAGTTGAAGCTTTTCCGTACTGCATATTCGAAATGAAGCGACTTACATGTCAAGAATTCCGAAGGGACCAGAGGATATCGTTTGAAGAGGATACATTCCAGCTCTCTTCCGTTCGTCAGACTCAGGCTGTGAGTCAAGCGCCCGGAGCATTCCGCATACAAACCAATCTCATTTCGGCACCGATGCAATCGATTCGATGAATGTGTTTATCAACAGCGTTGATCAACCGAACCCATTGAAAGCCGGCATTGAACGCGACGCGCGAACGCGTTTCCGAAACCTCGATTTTCCTATAATTTTGAACACGAAGTGACGGTCGATGGCGGTAGTTAGCATTGGACGCGATCAACGCCACACACACGAGGTCTAAAGTGCGTGCGATGGCGATGTCGTTCAAATGGTCTGACAGTCCCATGTTTCCTGTCCTGGGAGGCCATCGGAGCTACAAGTGTCTGTGGAATCCTGGCAGTCCGGAGTACAGAATGGCAAATCTACGCGAGAAGGCTTCGACGTGCATGATCATCGATCTGGACATCTTCAAGTTCACCGCCGCCGATATCGAACAGAAGAAGAAGTCCATCCGGAAGAAGTATGCAGCCAAGCAAGCGATGGTCGTCGATTTTGAAGCTGGGTATTATAGTATTCATTGTCGCATCTATGCGTGCTCAGATCATACTCGACTGCCTGCGAACGGTATGGGTCGTAGCGGATCTTCCCGCGTATTGATATCGAATTAAGGCGGCTGCTCAGCTGTATGAGCTCCCGAACGAACTTCGCTGGAAGTTCCAAACGGAAATTCAATGCCTCCTAAGTTCGGCTCGTTTGGAGGTACATCGGTCCAGGACCTCTGCCGTATTCTGCGAGCTACCTCTACAGCCGTTGGCGACGCCGATGTCGACGCGCTGCTCGATTCCCAAGAGAGGATCTTCGCTTTGCGCTAAGGATATCCTAGTTAAGACATCATTCACAGAAACTCACCCAAATGATGTCCTCCAACGCGTCTTAGATGGCGTCCGAAACGACCGGAAGGAACCCAGAAAACGTGTCGCGGGGCACTCTGTAAAGAGCGCTGAGCGTTGCGATGCTTCCGCCACTCGCGAGATACCGTTGGGTCATCTCCAACCCCGACTTCGATCTCGGCGGCAGCGGTAGTCGGATTCACGTGTCCTTCTCCGCAATCTACGGCACCACCGTCTCGCGTAGAAATTTGGAATGCTCCTGCCTCATTCTTAAATGATTTTCGAAATCTTCGGACGTGAGATACGCCAACTCTTCCGGCAGAATTGCCGAAGCTCCTTGACTTCTCCGGCCTTCGAGACGCGGCCGCACTCACCAGCTTCGAGGAGGAAGGACGCATTTCTACATTCATCTTCACATGAATCTACATAAGTCTACATAAGTCTACATAAGTCTACATGAGTCTACGTAAGTCTACATAAGTCTACATAAGTCTACATAAGTCTACATAAGTCTACATAAGTCCACATAAGTCTACATAAGTCTACATAAGTCTACATAACTCTACACAACTCTACATAACTCCACATTAAAACTCTGCATAACTCCGCGTGGTACCGCATATTCCTGCATATCCCCGCATACTCCTGCATATTCACGCATATTATTGCTTATCCCCGCATACCTCCGCCGATTTCTGCGGATGAATGAATGCGGCGAACGCTACGCAGTGAGAACGTTCCGATATTCGTCCCTCCTCTTGCCCCTCGCGTGACATTTCGCAATCGGCAGAGCTCACCAATTCTGCGTATACCGTCACAAGGTCTCCGAATTTCCGCGAAACTGCTTGGAGCTCCGGGGGCAGGAGCCTCCTAGCATCTCGGAGATCGTTGATGGTCTCAGTGTTTTTCTCACGTGGCAGTCACTGCTCTCCAAGAGCTGTTACGCAGATCGGTATGTTCGGAGTACGCGCGGCTACCGCGAGCCGGCTGGCGAGGACAGTCTTGACAAGGAAAGGGGTTCGCGCTGCCTCGACCGCCAGTGCGGCATTGGGGTCGAGCTCTTCGCAACCGAACTCCCACAATGTCTGGAAATGTACGGCACAGCATTCAACCACGTTTATCCGAGTCGCGCAGCGGGTTAGAATCGGCTGCGGAAGGAGGGGCAGATCCGGTTTCTTTCTGAGTCGTGAAACTCGAGTCGGGGACTGATGGAGTTCCATCTTCATTGGAGGGATAGGGCGGTCCACAAGCGTGAACGATGCGCGAACCTCTTCTGAAGCTCTGCGGAGGCTGTGAGCAGTACACGCGACGTAGATAATCCGGGAATATACAGGGTGTGGCATGATAAATAAGGCGACTGGAAAAAGCTGCGGAACTCAAAGCAGGAGATATTTTGGAATCTCGTTTGCGCCGGAAGTTGCCCGATTCGATGGGGAAGTTTTTCGGTTCTGATAGCTAGGCGCTTCAACTTACGCCAGCGGAAAAACGGCGAAAGTCTTGGCTCGTATATGACACTGGCCGTGTCAATCCAGGAACCGAGTCGCTATTTCGATCGGATGGATAAGTCTCATCGAGGACAATATGTGGTCGATGTGCATTGAGATTCGCTCTCCCTACAAGACCCAGCAGGTGTGCTCCTTCCTGAACGACGCAGGCGTGCAGTCGATCTCGGAATCCGGCCATAAGATACTCCAACACTTCTATTAGGATGTTCTCGATCTCTGAGCGTACAGAATCCGTCAAAGCCCCGAGTCGTCAACCTCGGATCGAATTGCTCATGAGCGACAAGCACATTGAGAGATCGAGGATCGTACGTAGAAATGTCATGTCACAATATAGGCGAATGTTCGGTGAATCGTCATGGTTTTTTTTTCACATAGAGTGGCGAACATCAGGGAAGCTCAGAGCTTACTAGAGAGCTCCGGTAGAAGAGAACCTGGCTTACATCAGAGCTCATTTCAGCTTCCTCCTCTGAGCCATCGAGACACTCGAAACTCAGTCAGCTCCACTTGTCGATAGTCTCAAGAAGGCCCCTGGTGATATTGGGCAATGCATCCGAGACACGTGCGGAGCGACCGTGGATCGCAACGCCGGGAGAATCGCTTCTCTGGAAGCATAGCCCGATCGCCCGGAGGTGTCGCGGAGGGATTGTTCAAAACCGCGAGGTTCGTCGCCTGACGGTGATGCACTCTTGGGCTGCGAAACCGACATCCCATGTTGAATTAATTGCTTGCCCCCCTCTATCCCCGAGCTTTTTCGCTCGAGACCCCGATGGGCTGGAAAGCTCCCGCTACCAGCGGCGACCCATGAAGCAAGAACTCATGCACCGCGCTCGGCGAATTGTACCAGTCATTGGGCCAAATGAGGGGACTCGCTGATTTCGAGCGATATTCACCCGATTCTTCTTCCGGAAAAATCCCCGTCGGCTGAGGTTCTTCCGTGCAGTCCCTCGACGACAACGTCCATTCGACTCGGAGGTGGCGTCGGCGTGAGCTTTGCGCAAGCCCGGTACGAAGAAGGTCGCACAGAGTCGAATGTGGGCGGTGCGGCTCCTATCTCTCCATCATCCTGGGAACCACGCGAATTCCGCCGTGCCCCGGAATGAACTCGTCTGACTCCTCTATCCTGTTGTTCGACCACGGCATCCTCCATCTGAGCGGATGCCTGCCCTAGTGGCCATCTCGATATAATCATTCTCGCCGGACAACCGTCCCTCCTTCTCTTGATGCATCTGCAGTGAGAAGTCCAGCCACTCGCCGTTTCCTCAACTTCGTATGAGTGGTTCACTTGAAGAATCGAGGTGCGCCGTTCGCTGAAAGTACTTCCTGAACAGCCATGACACTATGACACTCATTTGGATTCCGGAGGGAGCGGAGATTTCGATTGACGATGGGAACGCAAGCGAAACTCGATGTCAACGAAGCGAAGTCCCACGAAATCTATTATCATGTTGAAAAAAAAATCGCTTTCCGCGAGAATCGATTTTTTGGAAAAACCGTTCTACGCGAAGCTCGTCTTAGGTCGAGTTTGTCTCGAGCACGCTTGGTTCTATTCGTGGTTCGCTTTTCGCGAGATCCATTGTGCGGAGGTTCCGCGGCCCACAAGCCATGGTTGCGGGAAACAGCATTTCCAGGTTGCTCTGAATGCTAGTGATGCTAGAGGACTGAGATTCATGAATGAGGGGGTTCGGATAGAGTGGTGTCGGAGTAATCGCGACCGGATGCCGCGGCACGTCTGGGACGCGAGACGAGAGACCGATGCACATTTCGCAGAGTCGCCGGGAGCGACACATTCATGTCCTTGTAAGCACCGAGTAGCGACGTACGCGATCGCTCGGAAGGATCCGCAACCGATCGATAGGAGCGGCGCTACCGATGCCGTCGGAGGAGACTCCAAGTCATCCTGCCCCGGCAAGTCTGGCGGTCGAGAACCCCGAGATCTTCGTGCCTCCGCTCTCAGGGAGAGAGTTTCGCGCGAGACCTCTATTTATGCCGAGACTGCACGCACATCCGAGGGGTTCGACGGAAATTTTTTTTTCGCTTGAGCCCGTGCGAGAGCGAAACTCCCTGGTTCTCGCGTTTGCATTTTGTAGACGTTGCTCAGGCGTCTTGACTTTTGAATTTCATCTTCTGTTCATCTCTAGATCGAGCACCGTGGCGATGAGGACTATCGCCATACTCCTGATGTTTTTGTGTGCGTCATCGGAGGCGACGACTCTCCTCCCGATCCTAGGCGGTAAAGAAGCCCTGCGCGCCCTTTTCGGCGCTTACGTTGTCAAGCTGATGTTTATCAGTGCCTACATGCAGGGCTTGCACAGCGGCTATAGGCACGACACAAGGTGAGCAAACCCTCTTCCTGCCTCTCCAAAAATTTCTCGTGCTCGGGATCTGAGGCGGTCGCTCAGCGTGGATTTCGACATTTTGTGCCAAAACAATACCATCCATATTTCTATAAGGGACCGCGTCTTCTGCTCCATTCACAGGAAAGATGAATATGAACAAATCGTCCAGGTTCTCGACGTTCCTGAGGATCTCTACCAGGAGAGATACCTCAAATCGTCACGACCCCAAGTTGGTAAATCGAACAGAGCGGAACGAGAGCTGAAGAGTCGAGACATGTGGAAGAAACTCTTCGGCAGAACTCCGTATCCGGACGCTTCCAGACGATCGACAAAATGGAAGAGTAGATTGTGATAGCAGATTCCATGTTCGATCTCTGGATGAGTTACTCACTCTGCTCCAATAAAAAGTTGTGTTCCATTGCACAAATATTGCTCTCGACCCTGTGATCATTGATAATTGATAATGAGCAGATTAGACGAGGTTTTTCGGCATTACGTAAGAGCCGAAAACATGAGCAACAATTTTAGCTATCCTCAGAGTAGGATTCTGCGGGTAGGCCACGTCACATGATTCCGAGTTATGACACTTAATGGCTGAATCGTTGCGTCATCTCGATCACTCTACATTGTTCCGATTGGGAGGTCTGCCGAACTTCGCGCTGGACCTCGCTCGCGACAAGGTCTCTTGAGGAATCAGGCGGTGATGCGTGGGATGACATTGAATTCTGAATGCTCATTACAGCTTCCTGGTCCGCGAGCCTTCCCTACACTAAAGTTGACGGATGTGTGATGTGCTGAGGGGCTCGTTAGAAAATATGGCTGATAGGAAATATGAATATTCGAAATAAGGTTCGGGAAAGAAAGTCATGAGCAGCGATGATTGGGTCGATCGGATATGTGCTGTTGCGCGATGATGGAATTTTACTCTTGAACGGAAAACTATGAGAAGGTCTTTCTTTAGAAACCGGACAGTTCACAGAGGCGGATCCTGGGAAGAGGCGGTCGGGCGATCGCCTCCTTCTCGAGACTTCCGACTTCCCATGTTCCCATTTTACAGCAGGTATCGATCCGCCTCTCCCTCGATGCATTGACCGCCCCCTCCCCTTGGAGGACTCCTGGATCCGCCCCTGACAGTGCATCGAGCATCCGAGTTCTATAGTCGGACTCTCGATCCGTCTCCAATCTCCAGCAACGAGTAATTGACGCTATCTGAGGCGTTTTCCGAGGATCCGTGAGGTGAATGACCCCTAATGATTATTTGAGAACGTGATCATTCTCGCGAGACTTCATGACGTCGTCTCGCCTCAGCTTGAACATCCCGAGTCCAATCGATTCCAGATTCTGATGGAAGCGCATCCGATTCTGTGGCTCGCTGGAAGAGGCGCGGAGTCGATGGCCCCGCGTAGATCGCAGCCTTCGGAATGCAACGCGCGATCAGAGCGAACCGTCAGTTCTGAGAATCCAGCTGGTGAGGATGAAGCTCACATCTCATCCATCATCACTGATGATTCCACGAGGGCTATGGCCGAATCTCCGCTTGGGATGAGCTGCAGTCTATTCATCGGAATCCGAGTGTGATGTAGAGTTATGGAAGGACTTTCCAAAAAAACGCAAATTATCCCGGGAGCCGCGGTTGTTGCCTGCGCTTCCGAGCGACTCCTTGCGGTCCCCCGGCATACGCCCCATGGGGAGCTGGAAGCGCGGTTCTCCGAAAAGCCAACTTATGAGACATTTTCGAATAGAAGTCCGAGTTCCGAGGACATACTGCTCTCAAGATCGATCCAAATCGAGCGCTCATGCTCTCATCTTAAGACAGGGATGTCGAACTCAAACCCCCGGCGGATCGATATGGGTCGCTGTCCGGGTCCGCGGGCCATGCCAGACTTTCCGTCTCAATTCCAGAACATCAACACAGGCCCTATGTGGAGTCCATCCGAAGTCCTCTAGACGTGGGAGTACCCAATTCTCTTCATTTCTCACGATGACAAGCTCCGGATCCTCTCTGCTCTCACGAGATCAAGATATCAAGAATCGGAGCGTATGTTTGACGTCGGATATAAGGACCGGGGCGCTTCGCGGGCCAAGAAAGAGAACTCGGCGCGCCAGTTCGGCCCGTTGGCCCGCGATTTGACATCCCTGTCCTAAGAGCAAGAATGTTGGCGATGCCTCCCGGAGTCCGGTCGGCAGCGAGATGGATTCAAAGGTAATTCACATAGATGGCTCCAAAAACCTCAGAGGCTCTTGAGTCGTGGGGAGACGTCTATAAACGGTGAGACCTTATCGCTTCTTCTACTTCTTCAATGGTGTGGAACGCTGGGAGTAGGGAAAGTCCCCGGCATTCACGTTCTCATGGAGCGGTGCTTGAAGCTCCAACTCCATGACGCTCCGGAACCTGGGCGCTATGAGCGAGCGTTGTCATGATGGAGAAATTCAGGAAGACTTAGAAAAGAGTTTCCGGCGCCGTGCTGTCGAGACAAATACGGCATGCTTCGAAGAATGTCCGTCTACCCTAATTAATGATCTCCGCTGGCCGAACATTTGGGATTAAAAGCGGCAATTTTCCGTCAGGAACATTCGTCCAACATTTATCCGAGCGATGGAAGGATTTCCGATCCATCCACGGTGCCTCGGAAGATTCCATCTCACGGAGAGCTGACTGTGTTCCAGCGCAGACTTGAAAGGACGAATTTCTGGCAATCGTGAGTAACTATATCTCCTGCACCGAATGAGCTCGATCACCAGTAAATGGCAGAATGTCTTCTCCCAGAGGAACTTTTTTCTTTGACGACAAACAGCCGTGCGCCCTCATTATGGCCAGTTATCGGAGAGGACCAATTCCATCGCCGGTCGGAACGAGAAGGAATTCATACGCGTTCCTTTTTCCTCTGGCGGTAGCTACCATGTTCTCTTCGACACTTGTTGGCTTGCACACTTGAAGAGTTTTCTGGGACATCTCTGTATCCTTATTATAATTCGCGAGGTTTGTGCCATGCAATTTCGACAATGTGCGACCTATGTCTCCATGGCACATGGACGAATTTCCGGTCCTTATCGATCAGCCCTTACCGGATCATGACCCACGAGTCATGGCGGCCTGCGAGGAAACGTCGACTGCGATAGTTCCACCAGAGGAAGCGATGCGAATCTTATTCTCGGCTTTTCTCTTTCTCATGATAGTGGGGGCTCGTCGGAAGTTCGCGATAAGATCGAGCGAAACGCCTTCGTTTTCGGAATACGCAACTCCTATCGCCTCCTTCAGTGGAACACTTTGTCTTGGAATTCCCACCGATTCCGAGATTTCTCTTCCTTGGGCACCCGATAATTTGCGCCGCTACCGATTAAATTCCCCCTGAACGGACGATATCCACGATCGATCCGACTGTGATCTAATCGTGAGTTCTGATTCCGAGTCGACGAGATCTATGCAATCACTTTTGCTTTAAAACCCGCTTCAGACTCCCGATTGCCGTGAGCTACACTCAACGTATGGAAGGCGTGATCGTTGATTACTTGCTCAAATGAGATTTCCGCTCGCCATCAGTCCTGCTTGGACCTACATACCCTCCTGTCGCGTGTCTTGACTGCGCTCCAGAAAAAGTTTACAGCGGCAGTCCCTCCACAGACAGGTGGGGAACTGCCAGAAAGCTGATGGAATCGGTTATTCACAGATCGAAGAAAGTCTCCAGCGGTAAACCGCGGGGACGGCTCGGTCGACTGAGAATATTGGATTTGCAGCTTCACGGGAGTCAGCCGTCAGAAACCCTCTTCTTTTCCGTGGTTGTATATAAACGTCGGGACAAGTGCATCGCGAGACGGAAAGAAAAAGCCGGAATTGTAGTTCCGCGATTAGATGCCACGCCGAAGTATGCGGGAATAATTCCAATTGAGCCGTAATTGCAACACCCGATCCACGGTGGTAGGGTCACGGGGATCTAATCTGTGAATGAGTTGACCCCGTCATTAGCAGATCATATCCACAGATACGTCTTAACTCAATGCCCTGTGTTCGCGGCTTCCATTTCGGGTCCCATGTCGGATTCTGGGAACATCTGAGTCGTAATAGGAAATTAAGGCCATGGACTGTGATGGCCAGCTCATTCAACGATGAAGAATCAATTTATTCTGTCGCAATGGATTCAACGTCGATGCGAATCGCTTCATATACCGCGCAGCTCCTGAGATTAACAAACCATTTTCATTCTGAGAGACCTATACATATGTCTAAATTGTGAGTTCACGCTCTAATATATAAAGATCATTCCTAGCACCGATTATTCTCAGAAGGCAAGCGCCCTTCGAGATCAACCGGCCGAGAGCGAGTTCCTAGCTTAATACTTAGATGCGTCTAAACTAGAGAGTCGATCGTATTGATGTCGGACGATTTCCAAGATCGTTTTCCACGGTGAAATCAACGCGTTGATGAAGAGATCAGTGAAGCACAGATCGAAATGAGATGAGATATACGTCAGTATTCTGTACTGGAGCGGCGCCAGAACGTAGCTCCGTTTCGGTCGCGCTGAACAAACGGCGTCCTCGAACGCATTGATGGGCGCCTCGATGTTCGTATCGGCCAGCTTATACATTCCCTTCATCAGCTTCTCGTATTCATTGATGAAGAAAGAATAAGCCTGCTTCCTTTCGTCATCGACTTGCTGCAAACGGTCCGCAGGAGTCGGTCCGGTTCTGTTCAGCAGAGGAGTTCTGCAGGGATGACGGAAGTCGAGTTAATCAAGGAAGATGTTCGCTCATTGGCAGAAAACTTCGTCTGAGAGGCATAGAAGAGTCAACTCACCTGTAGAATGTGGGCTCGATGGAGATGCAGGTGACCTCAAATTTCCGCAGTTCTCGATGCAAACCTTGACAGAACGCTTTCACGGCTGTTTTTGAGACAGAATAAGATACCAGGTACGGGAAAGCGAAAGTGGCAGAAAGACTCGATGTCACTATGATCCGGCCTTGAAGGTTGAAAAATTAGGTGAATCCACCGGTCACGTGGGATCCATGGAAGAGGAACGAGAATATTTCCCCCGGAAGCGATGATTCTTCGCGAATCGACGGGGTGTCAGGATGTTTACCGATTGCGGCAATGAGGGAAAATCTCGAAAATCACCTTTGCATTTCCGCACGGCGGGCAGTAGGGCTTTCACAGTCCTGAACACTCCGAGTAGGTTGACATTGATCAAATTTTCGATTTCGCTCATTGGCGAGAGCTCGAGCGGCGTTTCATGAAGCACTCCTGCGTTGGCGATGACAGCCCACAGCTGGAGATTTTCTCTGTTCAGATGAGCGGTGATTTCCTCTTCAACCGCAAGCAAGTCCTGCTCTTTGGTGACATTCAGCTGAAGTGTTTTGATCGACTTTGAATAGTCTCGGAGCGAGGCAGCGCCTTCACTGTTTTCGTCGATGCATCCCGCAAACACTACGTATCTGTAATCACAGCAAACAGGCTGTCGTTATTCCACGCTCCAACGTGGCTAATGTAAGCATTCGCTCAAGCACAACGCAGAAATAAGTGACGAAGTTTCGGGAGGTGGAATGAGTTACGCACCCTCGATTCGCGAGCCGTCTGCTCAGCGAGTTTCCGAAACCTGAATCGCAGCCGGTGATGAAAACAGCTTTGCCTTCTGAAGGCAATTTCTTCTGCCCGAGGCGACGCTCCACCAATAACCTCAGAAGACCGGCGATAGCAGCAATAGTAGGCAGATAGAAGATTGATGGCAGGAATGCTGTGAGAATCTGCAGGAAACCCGTCCAGTAGAAAGCCAACGAAACGAGTAGACAAATGATACCGACGAATACTCTATCGCAGGATCGGAGCACGTCTTCAAGCTTTTCCAGCGGATTCATCTGGAATTTCGAATTCGCCATGAGCATGATTTCTCATTGGACACTTTGTGAAGTCATCAGTCATTGCGATTGACGCAATTCTCTTCTGTGTCATTTATTTTTCAGCAGTGTTTTTTCTTCCATGACGCTTTCGTCATGTCATGGAAAAGTCCTTAGATAGCGACGTGAGCGGGAGACCCCGGACATTTCTCAGTCTTAAGCGCAGATCTGACGCTGAAAAAAACGAAATCGCGCAATTCCTCCAAGAGAGGGGCTGTCCTAAGGAAATCGAACGAAGATCTGGAGAACCCCCACACGCTCGGAATACATTATCGCGCATTGGGAGCTCTGACAAAAATAATCCGAAATCGATCGAGCTTCTCTGAAGAGTCCCTTCTTCGATGAGGAAAGGATTTAGCATCATTCGGAAGCCGATGAGACGCTACCGATGCGTATGATTCCTTCTTTGAGTGCTTCCTCGTTCCTTGTGACTGCCGATCCTGAAAAGTACTCACGGGATGATGATACTCAAGAGTCAAAATTCACTGATACAACGTATGCGAGGCTTCGCTCGGATGGAATTCGGGGATCGAACCAAGAACGACGGCTCCGTCCCTTCGGCTTTTTCTGACCCCTGTCAGGAATCAGGCAATCCGCCGTGGTGAATAAACGCCAGACCGATCCCGTCGCCAGAAGGCAGCAGCTTAACCAAATTGCAGACGGGTCATCATCGCCACATGTCCTTGTTTTTGATGCTACGATATAGACTCTCTTGCGAGGATATCCTTCCTCTAGCGGAATCTTCGACCAGAGCTCTCTTCTGAATCTCCTATTACTCCGATGAGTAGTCCATATTCTCGGGGTCCCTTCTTCCTCCATCCGACCGGAGCGATATTGAAAATTAAATTCTTTGAAGCAGCGCGCGTTTTTCGACATCTCCCATCGAATCAGAAAAAAAGAGTTGCAAATCGATCAGCAGTTGCGTGTGAATTCTGACGAAGTCCACGGGCAACTTCCCTGCATTTCGGAGTAGATTTCGAAATCTGCTCCCATAAAGCCATTGATAATGATCGACCCGTCCATGAATCCACAGAAACTGTCGCATTGAGATTCGGCAATCTTTAGATTCAGCTGTCTCCCAGAGACTAGTCTCACTGTGAGACTTCTGGTCCTTGGAATCGTCGCTAGCCACCGGCGAGTCATCACGAAGTTTTTCACTCAGATATTGCTACAACGGACACCTATCGTTATCGGGGCCCGGTCAGAAAACTTACCGGTGCGGCGCCGTCCACTTCACGCAAAAACTGGTTGAGCTACACTCACGACAAGTACACTGAGCGATTCTAAAACAATACCAATCTAGCAGCACCGTTCGCTTCTCTGCCGGTGGCCGAGGAAACCGCCACTGAATATCTCGCGCGCGTCCCGAGGAAAGTGAAACTCTCACCTTGGATAAGCTGCGGCCGTGCGGGAGTCCGGCGGAGAGAGTCCAGTGACACTTGACAGAATCAGCTTCACCGCGTTCAAACGATCGATGAACCTCGGCTCGGAATCTCGGAACTTTCCATTCGATTCGAATCAGACCGGTTGAGGAGCCACAGAACTCACGAACGTCGGCGCTTTGATTGTGACTGAACCCTGTCGAAGCGCTGTCAGAATGCGCCGCCGTGCGCCACTATCGGATGCGAACTGGCCTTGCGAGAACCGCTCGCGGCTCTGCGAAAAGTTTATCTGGGACTGACGGAGCGTGACTCGTTCTGTCATAAATATGTTTTCTTACATAATCTTCTCCCGGCAGCCAACTAATATCCGACAAGTATTGATCCAGTGGCCCGTAAACTTAATAAGTTGCTCTGCCTTCAGTTCTCGAGGGGAACGAATTCCGTCAAGGCGTCATATATGTGTGCATTCATATACCATGGGAGGAGAGCTTGTCCGCATATGTATAAGAGTGAAGTCTGACGTGGATATGGCGGTGGGGGGATTCGGGTGCGATCGGGGCGGTCATACTTTCTGGTCGACGCCCCGACGGTCATGACAGTTTCACAACAGGTACATTCGGCGTCGGAATTTCATTGACAGTTTGTTATTATCTTAGTAATGACGCCTATATTTCTTCACGAACTCAACCTCATCAGTCCCCACCATCATTTCAGTCCGTCCGTAGTCGATTGGAATTCAGTGTTCTCGGGAATAACGGTAGAATTGGGCACAAGTCGAACAAGGGTTCCAAACCCACAACGAGTCCAAGCAATGGCACCGGCCCCTGACCAACAGTTCTGGAACAAAGAATGCCTACTACAAGCCGATTCTTAAGATTTCAAAACTCCCGTACCCTTACCTCCCGACGGCACTTACCGTTGAAGGTCTTTTTTGTTTTTCTGCGGCAAGCGACAGAATTGATGATCAGAACTCAACTGGATCGTGATTATTGCTGAAACGAAAAGCGGCCGTCGAAAGCCGCACATCGTCAACACGCCAGCCTCACCCAACATGGGCGAGCATGGGAAGAGCGATAGTTGGTCAGGGCCTGTCCGCGAGGAACTAATCGTCCCGCTTGAGACTGGCGATTCTCGGTGGAGTTGCGTCCGGATGGTACTCCTCAATAATGGGGGCTCGCCTCGTCTAAGGCATTCCGCTTCCTGACTGGAGAGGTCTGCTCGCTTAGCCAAGCGATGAGGAGATGTGGGCTGAAGTTTGTCTTGAGATATTTATTTTTTCGACATTACTAGGAACAACAACTCGATTCCCTAATTTATTATCAAGATTCTTGCTGATAAGTTGCTCTAGGAAAGGAGCAGAATTTCTTTTGTGATCCTGATGATTAGGAGGATGAGTTCATCCGGGAGATCATGTTGCTCTCTCGGGAGAAACTCCAGCGGGAAGTTCGACGGAGGGTCCTCTCATCTCTCGTACCCTGAACCCCCGATTCTACATGAGGTCCGCGCTCGGGTTTGCCTCTTCGAGCTCCCGGTCCTGCCCAATATCGAAGCGGTAGGCAAAGACTCAATTATCGAGGAAAAGATGAGCTAACATGGATCTCCTTCCGGGGAAATCGCCTGATCGGTGCATCATGGTGTGTATATCTTTGTATATCGGCGTTCATAACTTTTCGTTGGGGCATGCCGGTCTTGAGAAGCACCGAACGGTGTATGCGGGTCTCTGTCAAGGGACCTCAAGCGAACAGAACGACCCACTTCGTAATCAAATCGCGTCGCGGTTTTGAGCGATGTTCCTTTTCGCTGCGAGTCTGACAGATTTCCCGGAACTCCCAGCATCCTCAATTCCTGCTTCAAAGATGAGTACTGCCTAGTAAATTAAGCGAGTCTCCAACGAGAATGAAATCTTCTCTGCTCTGCAATTAATGCGGACTTTTTATGGGGGAAAATCTCTGCTCGAAACGTCATATCTCGGACCCGGTCCTGAACTTCCTGCATCCTCATTCCATATCGGTGGAAGTGGGAGTTGAGCTCGACACAAGCTGAGGGGATGAGCGTGGATCCAATGCTTGGAATGGGAATTTTCTAGTCACTCAGGAACCTTTTCGTCGTGGGTTTCCGTGAGACGCTTCAGATAATGCCAATGACTTCCTCTTCCGATGACTCCAGGGATGATACGCCGGGCCAAATAGCGGTTTTAGTTGGTAAGCGGTGTACACCCACTGTCTTAAGTCTCTTCGTTTTCCACGCTGGGAGTTTATACATCAGGAATTAAGAATGCTTGAATCGGGTTACTGCGCTTGTGACGTAATCGGGTAAGGACTCTGTGAGGCTTAATCGGATAACTACGGGTTGGAGGAGGAGATCCTCAACCTTGACAAACTCGATGCGATGGAAAAAATCACCATCGGGTTAAGCTCATGAAGAATTTCCTATTGTCTGAAAACTTTCCGTGAAGGAGTGACCTCCAACTCGAGCATCCAGCTCAATTCACACGGTTTCTCATATTCGGACTGCCTCCAGCAATCGTAAAATGGTGCGGTGAAAGATCCCGTATATGAGGCGATCGTAGCTCCTGGGAATCGACGATACGATTTGGTGACGATAGTCATCGCGGGGTGAATTTCCTTGAAGTGTTGCTCTTCCTGTTGATCTGATCTACTCGTTTGGTAATCTCGGATCGAGAAAAGAAGAATCGACGAAAGGTACTCGTTGAGCATCACCCAAAGAGCTCATCCATGTACACGTCGATTTCTCAATACATCCAGGGCCCACCACTCTGAAAGGCGATTGGGGATGCTGATATGCAAAGTCCCAGAATTGGCAGGGATCTCATCTCGTTGCGTGTGGAGGAAATTCAAAATCAGCAGTTCTGTCTTGAGTCAAGAAGCATAAGGCCCGCCCTCCCGGAAAGAGGCGAGACGGCTTCCCATCCGAGAACGAAAAAGACTTTCCCGGAGGATACAGTGTAGCAGAAATCACTCCGAATGGGTGAAGGATGTCATGCGAGGCGAGCTTTGGACACTCTGGCTCCTGAACTTCAGGAGCCCCTCACCCAAGTGAACTAGGTATCCTTGCAAAACCGGAGCCCACCGTAAGATGAGATGAGCGGACGACAGCAGCAATAAGCTAGCGGAGTCAGCATTCGACCCGTTTCTCAGATCATTCTGAGCCTCTCAGATCAATTCTCGCCTCATTGAAAGGGGACAATCGGAGGAATCTGGCTCCATAGAGCTGATACATGGATATGGGCAAAGGACGTAGCTACATCTTCTAATGATCGAGCTGCCAAAAGCACGCTTAGGCGAGGGATCAGCTGACGGCGAGCGCGGAGATAAGGATTCCGGAATCACGTCCTGAGAATTTCCTCTGTGTGAGGCTCAGTCACTCGGAACGTCATCGATTGGGGGCCGAGCGAACATTTGGAGTCGAATCTCTCGGAACCGGATTCTCGCCGCTGATCGAGCTCATGGCGCTCTCAGGACACGGCACCTCTTACTCCTCGATTTAACCGTAACACCAAATTATTGCGAGGAGCCGAGAAATTCGAGCCGGATCCTGGGCCTACACCTCGCCTCAAGGAGACCGTGCCGCCCCGACCGCAGAGTATGGAGCGAACGCCTAATCGGTGAAAGCCCCGCGTGATTCTTCAAAGATGAGCTGAGCACGAGGATTTGAGACCAGAAAGAGTTGTACAGCTGTGAATTACGTTAGGGAACGAAGGGGTCACTTGCCCTCTCGCCACGTTTTCCAATGCTCTTAATCCCTCGTTCCGGTCGCTTATCTTAAGGAACAGGATACCGTGGATCTCCCACGATCTTTGGGTAATGCGACTTTGCGGAAGCCTCCCTTGAGCCTGCTGTATCGTGAGATGAGTTCGAGAGAATCGCAAACACGTGGTAGCTCCCGCTGGGCAGAGGTATCCATTTTCTTACCTTTCCCATTTCATTCCATAAGCTCTTCATCAAGCAAACGTAGATAAGGAGTGATCTTCTCTGTTCCGGATGACCAGATAATCCAGCGTCGTGGGATAGAGGAAGTCCGCTAAGTCGAGGATGTCAGCTCAAGCTCCGATGATAAGGGAATCGCGGTCTTCGGGGGATGAGCAGACCACGATTCTGTGGATTCGCAATTCGGCGAAAAATCCTGAGCAGAGAGACAAAGAGCAGCGTGGAGAAACACCAAAATCGAGCTTTTCCGGCAGAACTGATGAAGACTCTTCGTCAGGCGGGCATGGATGGGGTTATAGGGGACCATCTGGACTTCCAGAAAAGTATACGAAATGTGGAGCCGCTAGAGTTGAAGAACAATACATTCTTGCGAGGAAAACTGCATCCATTGATTGACCCGACTGAATGAGTTCAAGGCTTAACCATCAGCCGAATTCCCGCGATTGTCCGACGCCGCCTCGCCCGGTCCAGTTTGGGAAGCACTACAGAAGTGCGTGAGGCAGAGGAGTTGTGGGACCGGTGAAGAATACCCCTGCATTGTGAAATTCGGATGCTTGCCGAGGCGAATTGAAAGTTGAATCGCTGTCCTTCCGCTCGCCTTTACTCGGTATCGTTGACCGATCGCAGAGGGTCGGAATTATTGTTGATGACGACCACGCTGATGACATCCTGTATGTAGAATCATCGCTCATGTTGAATTGAAAGAATGAGGTTCGCTGATCCGCCTTTGTCGTTCTGAGTGCGACATCCAAGAGGTGTGCTCTCACTAATTAGGAGTCCCTATTCAGAGCCTCACACAGAGGTATATCCAATGTTTGAATCATCGTATCCCGTCGAACGATTCGCGCTCGAGTCAGTTTCGACTGCATACCTTATCGGCTTGGGCCCTTCGATTCCTTGCGTGGATCCAGAGGGACTCTGCATCCCTCTTAGGCCGTGTCTTCGATAGTGGAGCCTTCATCTCCTCCTCAGTCGGTTACAGGTGCCCCGTCTGATCCGACGTCGGCTGCTGGAATCTCCAATCCCTCGTGTGTCGTGGCTCTCTCCGAATCTTGAAAACAATGAGGACCTTCCCGCCCACTTTGGTTTTGTGACCGATGCTAGAAGTTTCAGACTCGCGTCGGTAAGAGTTTTAACACGTAACGTGCTTGTGACACATGAATAAACGTGGCCGTATGCCCGTCCGTGACGACGAGAGGACCGTGTTTCCCATCTATTCCAAAAGCGGTCGAAAGCTAGCTCTCCCCGTGAGCAAGTCCATCTTGTGACACGTAGAATCACATGCTGGGATCTACAGTTGGTGCCGTGACCAGGATCATCCCGATGCTCCTCCGTCATGACGCTGGAACAAAGACCTGCATTTATCGCAAGGATAGCGGGTTCCACACCGGTGTGGAACCCGCGTTGGAAACCTGCCGGCTGGCATTCCTCCTCCAAAAGAGGCGGCCACTTTGGCAGATGGCGCTGAAGACAGCTCCGCACTGCCGCGGTCGTAATACGTCTTGCTGCGTTGCTCCTGCCGGTCGAGCTCTTTGGCGACGATCGCGGGCGGTATGACGCGCGGATGAAGCTGGATTAGAGCGGCCGGGAGCATGGTTCGAGCCTATGAGCCTTGGCATGGGCGAGCCGAGAGCACGGCTTCGCGGGGCGTTTCTCTACTCCAGTACGGCTGTAAAGTACTCGGGGCTTCCGTACGGATGCTTCTTGAGAATTTTCTACGCCTCCTGCACCGCCCTTTCGACGAGAGAATTGCCTCTTGGATAGTAAGGAGAGCTGAAGACTTGTTTTACTCCGAACCGTTCCAGGAGCTCTTAGAGGCATGCGACGGAGATTTGCGGGCCGTTGTCTGAGCGCAGCTCTACTGGTAGTCCGAAGTGAGCGAAAGTTCTAAATAGCGCATTGGGTATGTCCTTCATAGTTGATGAGCGCGCATACGCAATTCCCCAGTAGAAACTGTACGCGTCAACCAGGATGAGGGAAGCTGCCCATCGTATTCGAGTAGATCCATGTACACCGTGTTCCTTGGACGTGGAGGGGTGGCCGTGGTATATATCGCTTCTCGGGGATTTGCCGGCCGATCCCGCTGGTATTGGTCGCATCGTGCTACAACGCCCTCGATGTCCTTGTCCAAGTCCGGCCAGTACACCGTTTCCCTTGCGCGGAGTTTCATCGTCGCAGCCTCAGTGTGCGGGTGGTGGAGCTGTTTGAGCACTTTTGGGCGTTGCGCCTGGGGTGCTAGAATCCTATTGGAACGCATGACTGGGCGGTCCTCTACGTGGACAATTATCCTAGCTGGGCAGCCTTCTCTTCGTTGCTTCATGCACCGGCAGCATAACGTCTTGTCATCTTTCGTCTCCTTCACCTCAGAGAGGTAGTTGTTGAGGAAAAATTGGGTCCTACCCTTGACCGAGAGTGTTCCTCTGAGAGCCATTGTACACAGATTCCTGCGCTAAAGAACTACGAACTATGTGGAATTCACTCGGGATCATACAAAAATTCCAGTTTCTACAGCAAACGACCTGGAGGAAAGGTTCCGGAGCGAACGCAGGTGGGATACGGTGTACAGGCAGATACACGGTTGGAAATTCAGCCACAAGGATTGACGAATTGACAGCGGGTTTACTCCATAAGAAACGAGGATTTCAGAGAAGCCATTTCGGAGCCTGCATATCTGTGCATATCAACCCGGACCTACTGAGGCACATTTCTTGTGAGCGAGACATTGGCAATTCTCGAGCTTGACTGAACATCGAGCCCTCGTTTTGCTGAAGGAAGGAGCCTGAAATTATAGAGTACGATGCAGACTTCTGAGAGCTCTGCTTCAGGAGAGTTTGGCTTCTGAAATTCCAGCTTTTGAGAATTCAGGCTCGTGAGAATTCAGGCTTCTGAGAAATCTGGCTTCTCGGAATCCTTGCTCCTGAGATTCTGGCTTCTGATATTCTGGCTTGTCAGGGTAAACCGCGGAAGCAAGTCGTTCGAGTCACCCGGAACCTCATTAGGGATCAGAGCACTGTACCTAGCTTAAGGAAGCCAGTGTACTTCACTGAAAGAGATGTTAACAATTCCACGGTGCCGAAGCTCCGATTCGCTATGAAGCCAGAAGTCAAAACTAGAGCAATGATTATTTTATTCGAGAGCTCACAATATTGTTTCCTGTCCTGATACATGAATCATTTTTCATTGCGATATCCCGCCTCAGCATCGGAGTTCCTATGACCCTTCGTCCGCAAGCGAACACACATTTTTGTGAAACTGGACGAAAAGCGAAAGAAATGGGGAGAGAATACGCAACTCGCCCTGATAGCTATTGTACCAGTTGGGTACAAGGTTGCTCTTTATTATAGTAGATGGCGCGATAGAGTGCGCGGTATATTCGAACTCGTAGCACGCCCCACAAACAGAACTTCGATATCTCATCTGGTTCCGATCTCACAGGCAATCGTCGGGTCGTCGCACTTGCCGCACATCGTACTTTGAAAGTATCTTGCTTGAGGCCTTGGGCAATATCGCTTGCGGCCTTATTTCCCACAGAACATCGACTCACGTGTCCGCTCATACCAGCGTCCAGTGCCCCAGTAGTCTTGGAGCCGATCATCGACTTCATATTCGGAATATCCTCCGATGCCCTCGACTGGTTCTGCCGTTTCCCCACTTTCCCGTATCCCCACTTTCCCGTTTCCCCACTTTCCCGTTTCCCCACTTTCTCGCTTCCCCACTTTCACGTTTCCTCACTTTCCCGTTCCCCCGCTTCCCCGCTTCCCCACTTTCCCGTTTCCCCGCTCTCCAGTTTCCCCCGCTCTCCAGTTTCCCCCGCTTCCTCGATTCCCCGCTTTTCCGTTCCCCGGTGAGAGGACCACGAAAATAATTTTTTATAGTGGGAGGACCCATTACATGAGAACGACGACCCTGATATGATCTTCCTGAAGCTCCCGAGAACCCAGCCCTGAATTTATGCGGCGATCGGTTCAGGCGTTTGTGGATTTTGCGAATTTCGGATATTTCAATTTTTCCGAGTTCTCGTATTTTCGTGGGTGGAGCACTCGAATAGTTTTCTTAAGGTATAAGGACTCATCGCATCGGAGAACTGACCACCCTATACGCACCGCTCGATCTTCAGCCGTCTTCGAGTCCATAGGGTACCCCTGACAGACAGAAAAACAAACATACGTTTTTAAATATGCATGTAGATTTCGCATATTCACCCGGGAGATGAGACTGAATTTCCGCGGTATTCAATCGCGGTGTCATGGAATACTGCTGATGAGGATGGAGATGATCGCTGTAAGTTTCCCAGGGATCTTCCCGCTGTGAGATGAATGGAAATGATGCCGACGTGATTATCGATTCGACGGAGGAGCGCTCCGGGAGGAAGCGGCCGAGACTACGCACAGAGCCATTCAGCGTGCCGTGACCCTCGCGTGATCGAATGAGGTTCTGACTTCTCTTTGCTGATGGAGTTGACTTCCCTGATCCTCAGGTACCGCGAAGTTCCGCGAACCCTCGATCGAAGCGCTCCGGACCTGGAGTGTCGATCATCAATTCCAGAATCGCGTATCTCGCACGGAACTTATTGCCCGAGACTCTATTCTAGACGACTACTCGATTCTGGCAAATTGCTCCCATAATGTCGTGAATCCCCCCATTCCCTTATCGGGAATGTAAATAAATCAGTATGAGGAGCGTTCCCGTTCCCATCTCCACGTTCGATGGGCGCTTACACGAACGATGATTTCCCGTGCGGCGCTGAGCGGCCAATACGGCCCACTGCCAGTTTCCCGGGCTCACATTGGCTCAGGAGTTAGTGCCAGCAGACGATTTCCGCTCTGACCTTAGCGTGTCTAAATAAACCCTGCGCCTGATGTAACGTGCTGCGCGAATCTTCTGTGTCCCTCCATTGATTGTTCGTCAATCCGAGACCACCCTCTTTTTCATCGGGAGACGTCGGTAATCCGATGTTGCTCAAGCCCTTGTGGCGCCATGGAGCGGCGGTTTTCGCTCGCCAACAAAATGTCGTGTCGATCGGAGCTCGAAGCGTTCTGCTCTCCGAACCAGACAGTACGAGAAAGTTCCACACTTCGCGAGCACTCCTCAAACGCGACTACTATGAAATTTTGGGAGTCGCTCGGAACGCCAGTGCGAAAGACGTGAAGAAAGCCTACTATCAGCTGGCAAAGAAGTATCATCCCGACACGAACAAAGGTGACAAGGACGCGGCTAAAAAATTCCAGGAAGTCTCAGAGGCATACGAAGTTCTGAGTGATGACAGCAAGCGGAAACACTACGACCAGTTCGGCACGGCGAGCTCACAAGGATTTGGAGGAGGCCCAACTGGGGGTCGTGCAGGGAGCGGCGCCTATCAGCAGTACCAGTATCAATCGAATATCGACCCTGAAGAGTTGTTCAGGACGATATTCGGTGACTTCGGACAAGGGAGGTCCAATTTCGACCCTTTCGGCGCTCAGGAAACCTCGTTCGGCTTCGGCCGTGCGCAAGAAGTCATTCTCAAGATGAGCTTCGAGGAAGCTGCGCGAGGTGTCGCCAAAGATGTCACCGTCAACGTGGCGGATACCTGTCCAAAGTGCGAGGGATCGAGGTGTGAAACCGGTACCAAAGCACAAGTTTGTCAGTTTTGTCACGGAACCGGTATGGAGACGATATCCACGGGTCCCTTCGTCATGCGTTCCACATGTCGAAAGTGCGGGGGCACCCGTATGCACATACCCTACAAGTGCTCCGAATGTGAGGGCAAGGGCGAGACCGTCCAACGGAAAACCGTGACGATTCCCGTTCCGGCCGGAGTCGAAGATGGCCAAACGATTCGGACGTCCGTCGGGAGAAAAGAGCTCTTCGTCACGATTCGCGTGGCGCAGTCGAGAGTCTTCAAGCGAGATGGCAGTGACATCCACAGCGATGTTCCGGTATCGATAGCGCAGGCTGTTCTGGGAGGTTCGGTGAATGTAACGGGAATTTACGAAGACATTCGACTGAAGATCAGTCCGGGCACTTCATCGCACACGAAGATCCGCATTTCCGGTAAAGGTCTCAAACGAGTCAACGCAAGAGGCAACGGAGACCACTACGTCAACATCAAGATAGAGGTTCCCACCTCTCTGACGCCGGAGATGAAAGCTCTAATGCAGGCTTTTGCCGAGGTCGATAAGAACTCGGAGCGATTCGGCAGCGTAGGTGACAGCAAGTCAAAGGATCAGACCCGAGGCGAGAAGGTCAACGACAAGGATGCAGATGACGGAATTTTGTCGAAAATTAAGAAAGCCATTTTTGAGTGAGTAGACACAGATGTCCCGGAGTCCCGATAGGTGTTAGTTGGATATTCGCGAGAGGGGTCTGGACAGACCGATAGGCTTGGAGATTCGCTGCTGTACAAATGGGGTCGGCTGTCCCGAACCGGAGTTCCGATAGTACTTTATACAGCGTCCGACCAAGAAATCGATTGGTTGGTCGACGGAGAAATTGAAAAATAAATCGAGTCCTTTCGAGCGAACGCCGATGTTTTTTCTCCGATGTTCTCTCCCGGACCTCGGGCATGAACAACAGGGAAAAGATCGTAGCCAGGAGTTAAAGTCTCTCTCCTGAGGACCACTCTGCTGGTAGATGATCTTGCGCGGCCCCGGTCGGTCCCAAGGATCGATCCGATCAATATCTACCGGAAGATTCGCTAAAAAGCCCTTACTATCGCAGGTGGCTCCGTTGACGGATGAGTTGGTAGGATCTTGAAAATGCTTGGTGCCTTTTCGTGGTTGACAATTGTAAATCAGATAGATGGATAGAATGAATAAATTATTCATTGTGTTGTGATATCGATAAACAGGAAATTTATCAGATCCTTTTTATTCACAGTCAGACAGGGGACACGGAACGGTGAACGTGATGAGCCCCTCCTCATGGCTCATTTTGGCTGTCCTCGAACACCCATAAATGTTCTCATACTTATGAAGGATCTTTTCCTATCATTGCGGGGGACTGACTAAACATCCTCTTGCTCAACCCCATACCGGAGTGGGATGGCACGGTGCAGTGCCTAGGAGCGTCGAAAATGGTGTCGTCGATGGCCATCGCTCATCGCTCCGCGAACCTCATTCTTCTTCTCTCCATTGCGGTTCTTCTTCGAGCGCGAGCTGTGTTATTGTGATCTGTCCACCAGAAGACAACTTTATGCCTTTCAGAGCTTCAGATCCTCTGATCAGGGACAGTTCCTCAAGCCTTCAAGAGAAAAATTCGGAGTTTAGCGCTGGTCCTCCGTCGTGTTCTGATTATCGGCTCTGTCTATTGGGGGAGCATCTTGTTTGGACGATGCGTTTAGGGAGTGACGACGTTGTCGCACTTACTTCTTGAACAAATCTTCGTATATTGTTAGAACCGATTTGCAGGTCTCCCCTGTGCAAGAGCCTTCTTCATCACACACTTTGATGAATTGTCTCCATCGGTAATCTGAGTTGAGAACTCGTGGGTCACCAACGATTATCATCAATGCTTTCGCACGAGTCAGGGCCACATTGAACCTCTGTTGACGAGATCAATGTTGAGCAGAGAGGTCTCACTTAGCTAGAGAAATTCAAAAACTTCGGCAGATGTTAGGATTGCTCCGCCGAATCCAATTGCGCTTCCTCCGAACTGGACGAAACATTCGCGCTCCAAATTTCCTTCGACTCACCTTCTGATTTCGGAGGAAACCGAGACTCTGGCCCGGGTTCATATGGAATTTCTTCTGAGAACACCTCACCGTGGAGATAATCATCACTAGACGCTCCTGCCCTTGGAACTCTTCGGTCGAGCCTACGGTTATATCTGAGTAACCGTACTTTTCAAGGATGAAGCGCAGCTTCAGGACCTGTTTCCGATAAGGAGCGATGATTCCGATGTCTCTCTGCTCGATGGGCTTTCCATCGAAAGTTTTGGTTTTTTCCTGAAATTCGAGATCTACTTCAGCTACTCCGCCTCACCGAGCGAAATTTTGAAATACATTGGAGGACATCACCGATTCCGCTAATCCCTCACCGAGAGCAGATCCCTGACGTAGCTAACAATGACTGATATTTCTTCAGGGTTGAAGTAAGAGGGATTGTTCGACTCCCTCAACTCGCTACCAAACACGCCGTGGAAAATGACAGGCGTCCCTTTCGCTGGCAATTTCTCGTACATGACGAGGCTGTGAGTTATGTCCTTGTCGCCGCAAGCCTGGAAAAATTGTCATATTCGGAAAAATGACTTTTGTACGAGAAACATCAGGCGCAGGGAGTTTATTCCCCGCAAGTTTCCTGCAGCCGCGACTGCCAAGACTACCGCGGCTCCCCTGGAACTCACTTCCAATTCATCGTCGTAGAAGAGCATGTTCGGAACAGCGATGATCTTGGCATGGGAGCGGAAGTTGCGTACGAGTTTCGTCAGAAGCATGGGATTGTAAGCGTTGTTCTCTCCGCGACAGTAAGGCTTGGTCTCCATAATCCTCTCCAATAACGACTTTCCTGGAAGGGTAATGAATGAGACCGAATGACAAAATTTCTTCGAGCTCTCTCCTGCAGAGACTGCCCCCTTGAGGAGACTCCTTCAGCCATTCCGAATTCTCTGGATCAGGGGGCAGCTCCTGACCAGGACTGAGGTTCTCGTTCAGGCTCACCCATTCCGTAAGTCCTGGCGATAGGGGATCGAATTATCGGACCGAGCTGAAGGTGATCTCCTGACAATATCACCGAGCCGCCGGCTCTTTCTGGCGAGTCGGAAATCTCGAGGAGTCCCGCGATGGGTATAAGGGCCTCGGGTTCCATGGCGTGTCCGGCTTCATCAATGAATATATGCGTGAAATGACCTCTCGGAATCCCCATGGTGACTAAGCTCCCGGACATGGTCAGCGTGCAAGCTACGATTTTGTACACCATGACGACGTCCATAGAGACCTCTATGAACATCTTTGCGCTCTCCCTCCAGTTCGAAGCCTTCTTCATCTCTGGCGATGACACCTAGAAATGAACAGTCCCATAGGCCAACGGGCGCAATCCAAGAAGCGCAGACAATACGAGGAGTGAATCCGCCAGGAGGCATTATGGATTCCGACCGTCCGGTGACGGAAGATTCACGGAACTTAAAACGGATCTATGGGAACGCCGGATGAACTCGGATCCCAGAGGAAGCTCTCACCCTGCTTTCTGAGCAATTCACACCAAACAGTCTGTAGATGTCGGCAATAGGAATGGCTTGACTGTTGATAAGCTTTTCCGTCACGACATTCGCAGCCGCATTTGATGGCGTCACTATAAGGATGCGGCTCTCCGGCAGCTTCCTGTAGACCTGTGATCAAAGAAATTCTTCATCACGGCCCACGAGAGAATATCGAGGATATTCCAGCTCCGATTCCGACGATAAGCCCTCGATGAATATCACGGTAAAATCTTCCGTCACCTGTATGATGGCTTCGGTGATCGTTGTAGTTTTGCCGGTCCCTGGGGGGCCGAATAAGACGTAAGGCGCTGGTCGATGCAGACCGAGAACAATGTTGCGGACCGCGCAGAGCTGTTCGGGATTTTGTGCAATGTTCTTGCTGCGAGAGAAGGAAACCGTCATTTGGAGAATAAGAACAGAGCAGCGAAGAATAAGTCCATCAGGGAACGCCGCAGAGATATTAACTTGACGAGTTCCATAGTCTGCAGATTTGAAGTTGTGGGTCGCGCAGGCCACTGGTTGCGAGGCATCAACAATTCGTCGATGGGTGCAGTGCTGAGGACGTCGTCATACTGGCGAAGAGCTCGATACATGAGTCGCATGGTTTTGCGACTGACTGTGAATCGCACTCCGTATCCCACGAAAAGCGTTGGCTCCGCGTATTCGTCTTCCTCGTCCCCATAGTAGTCGGGCGACGAATAGTACTTCTGCAGGAAACTGCAGAATGAACAAGATTACGAGATTTTGCTGTGTTTCCTCTATTTTTCCCGAGTCTGCGCAAAAGCTCCGCATGATTAACCAATGGGAAGACAGTATGACATCCCGGCAGGTCGGGATTCAATAATCAGATACTCACTCTTCATGCTCCATAAGGATTTCGATAGACGTCGATTTGACCCGAGATACGAATCCTTCATACTCGAACGAGTCATCGTGCTCCTCACGGACGAAGATCCTGTCGTAGACCAATATGGAGGGCCGGCCCTCCTCGAGACCCTCGACTTCGATTTCAAACCTGCGGCGGGAGTCATGCACGCTCGGGTATGGCAAATTCTATAAAGGCTTCCATCAGCTAATCATGAACCGACTCAGAGCATCTTCGAAAGAATGAGTTCCTGAACCTTCGTCTCGGAGACCGGAGGCACTGAACTTTGGGAGCGAGGGTCCATCGCCGTGAACCGTGGACATCCATTTTTCACTACCTCGAACTATTTATCGGCCTTCAGGGAGAGAAATCTGCGAGAAACTTAATTCATAACAGGATCGAAGGCACCTCGTCATCAGGCAGGGGTCCTGCCCCTGAGCTTGATTCACCTAGCTCGTTTCATTCTTTGGGGCTCTAACCATACGGTTCCCTATGGTACTTTTCCCGATATTTTCCACCGACGCGACGGTATTCGAGAATCCACCATTGGACTCAGGTGGAGTCGCTGCGTCTAGGTGCTACCTGCGGAAAGGTATCCTCCCACAGAACGTCTCGAGATTGTAGTCCCCTCATCCAAAGTGAAGCCGCGAGGCCTGATTTATCTAGCAGTGAAACGATCCCCTTTCATGTCCATCGGAGGATGACTTGTCGCGGTCTTATCGATTATAATTTCCGCGCCGACGCAAAAGAGGATTTGCCGCTTTCCGGACGAGGCGACGGCCGACGAAGAGAGTTTTCTAACCCAAGGGGAGCCTAGGGAGGGGGGCAGCTCCCCCCGGTCAAATATTTTTGTCTGAATGGAAAAACGTCCCCATTCCCGAGCATATTTTCCAGTTCAAATCCCTTTAGAGAGAGCTTACTCTGACAGGAATCAAATTGTCCAGGACAATAACAACGATAAGGCAATCGGATAGTTCCCGTCTATATGTAAACTCCCGATAAATGGATGGAACCGCCAAATCGTCGTCTTAGGGGCTGTTCGAGCTCCGGGAGCGGCGCTCTCTGCCCCGAAGTTCACGGCCCTCAATGGAGAAGAGCTACATAATGATTCTTCGCAACGCCGACCCACATGCCACATCGCGATATACTGTTTCCCCTGCTTTTCATTTGTTCCGCGTCCCTGGTAGATTCAGACGCAGCGGAGTCTATAAGGCGACCCAGAGGCCCAGCTGTGGCGATCTTGGTAGTATAGGACTCGCTGGTGGTGGTGGTAGTTCGTATTGGCGGTAGCGGCGGCCGCAGCGGCGGCGGCGATGGTGGCGACGACGACGATGATGATGATGGTGGTACCGCCGCCGTCGGATGCTAGTGTTGTGGTGTGTTGATGCTGACGGGTGAACTCCTGTGTTTGTTGGGTATGTGTGTGGGTAAAGCCTAGTTTTGAGCATCATCTTCCACCGTAACCGAACCAAACTCCAGAAAGTCGAACAACCTCCGGGGTTATGTGAATGTTTCGGACGGGGAACAAAGCTCCAGCCATCGGCGTTGTGATGTCTCCATATTTGCAGCAGCAACAGCAGCAGCAGCAGCAGCCGCAAGGTTTGTAGAATAGTTCAGAGCTCTCGAGTCCCCACTCTGGTGCGTTTCGGAGTTCTCGGAAATTCGCTCGCTCATCAGCTTTGGAACAGCCCGACAACCAGATGAATTCCAGCATCTGATCGCTTCTCGCACTCGAGCCAGCACCATCGTGCTCAGCACTGATGACCGTAGACTGTCTCATCAATACCGCACCATGTTGTTCACATTAATATTCGTTTAAGCTCTGCACGAGCGACCCTTCCGAACACCCATTTCACGATCGCAACCTCATGTGGAGCTCGTCTTCAGTGCTTGTCCCGACCGCCTTCTAGCCCGGTCTCCGAATAAATGAGAAACGGTGCTCGGTGCGCTCGGGTTGCACGGGTGCACGGGTATGGGTGCTTCGGGGCAGGCTCGCAGAAGAACGGTCGTCGGGTTCCGCTATTGTGCAAATAAAGCGGTGATCTTAATTCGCACTCACACTCATAGGACGAATCCTCGTGCCGATATTGAGCTCGTCTCCCACAGTAGCTCTGTCCGAGTCATCGTGTTGAGGAATGAACTGATGTGCGATTCCTCGATGATTTGAATCAGTTTATCCCCACGGTCACTTTTGGAGGTTTCGTTCGTCCGCATCCCGTTGCGTCCTCGAAAGTCTCGCGCTTTCCGATTCTCCCTAGGTCCGCGAGTGTCCAGGACCGACCCGAATTTCCACCATGAGAGAGTCAATATGCATTGAGTGCCCTTCGAAACGAATTCGTGTCCCCCCTGCTCCGGAGAAAATAGCGAGGTTGCTGACTCCCTTTTCTTTTCCAGTTGCAGTGAACATGGAGGCGCGGCCGTCTCAAGTGTCAATGGATAATTTGGCGTTTTTCGCGGCTGGGAACGTTGGGGTCGGGACTTGCCTGACTTGTCCCTCGACCTCAGGGTCCTCACCGCACATGATACCCGATTCGGCTCCAGGAGGCGTGGGAGTAGGCGCCGGGGGAGCTGGCAATGGAGGCGGATCGGGGGGAGGTGGCGGAGCTGGAGGAGCAGGCGGAGGAGGCAGCGGCGGGAACAACGGCGCTGGTGGTAACGGCGGAGGAGGAGGAGGAAACAACGGACAAGGAGGGGACAACAACGGTGGTCCCGGTGGTGGCGCGGGAGGGGGGGAGTGATAACCGCGTCGAGTAGTCGACCGCAAAGCACAAAAGGAGGAGATGCATTGCGTCAGAGAAAACAGCGAGCCGCGGAAACCGAGGAGCAACGCATGGAACGGCGGCGAGCCGACGCGCAAAGAAAACGCGAAAGGCGATTCGCTGAATCCGAGGAAGAACGGGCTGAGCGGAGGAGACGCGGCGCAGAGCGAGCTCGTCTCCGACGCCAGGCCGAAAGCGATCAACAGAAAGCCGAAAGACGACGTCTTGATGCTCTCCGGGCTAGACGAAGACGTTGCGCTGAGACCGAAGAGCAGAAGGCCATCCGTCGGAAACTGGACGCTGAAAAGGCTCGACTCAGACGTTGCGGGATGACGGTGGAACGGAAACGAGCCGCTAGCCAGGTCGAAACCGAATCTCATAGTGCACCTCAGAAATATGAGCGACACTGGCCATGGTGTTCGGACGGTCCACCTCCAACGCAACACCAGGAACAAGTTCAGAGCCTTTACGCGTGCATCCAGGAACGCCTGCACGGTGCCCCGCAAGACGTCGACGATTTCAAACTCCTTTTCGTGGTTCCACCCTCGACGGACTCGGGCTTGGGTCGATTCATCAAATGATCTTAGCTAACAACTACTCCACGTGAGAACTGTCTATCCATAGACCGATCGTCCATCGAAGACTAACAAACCGACTGACTGGTCGACTAACCGACAGACTGGTAGAGGATCGGTCAATTAATTTAACAAACACACAAATCGATCAATCGACCCAACCAGGTGGACAAGAGAGAAGCCCAGCTTCAGACGAACCAACAAGCTATTTGATGATTCTGACTCTCGTCGTGTAATATACTACATACATATGTTGTTGTTTCCTAGCAATATGTATATAAAACGCCATAAACTGCTCTATTCGTTTATTTTTCCTCGGAAAATCGAAGGGCGTGTGTTCGAATGTTGGCGAAACTTTCCTCGGAAGGACCAACCCAACGAATCCGGATAAATGAATGAAAGAACATTCGAAAAAAGAACGATTGGAAAGACTGATGGAAAAGTAGGCAAGAAGATAGTGTAGTGATTCGTCCCGTATAAATAAGCAGCTAGTCTACGAAGTGTGGATAAATGGCGTCAGCTCGGAACTGTACTTGGACTATCCTCGGATTGCTTCTCCTTTGAATAAAATATGAGTCTTGATGCATGTGTTCAGGACGGTGGAATGAAATTTAGCGGAGCTTGTCTTCCTTCTGAGCCGGATATCCGGCAAACTTCACGAAAGCCCGAAGCTAGGCGAACTTTGGCCTCAAGAGAAGACGTCAGGGGAATCGGGAATAACCGGTCGGACGGATGCTTTGCCTCTACGGATCGCTCGGGATTTCCCCAGCGAAGTTCGGGGAGGCTCTCATGGTCCGCGAAACAGTATTCCCGTGTTTTTACCGCAAACCGAAAGTACTCAAGTTGGACGGGAAGTCTAGGGAACTCACCTCCGTGGATCATCCTCGAATGGTTTCAGCTTAGCGCTCGCTTTATCATACATCCGTATATCGGTGTCCTGCTGGATGTCTTCGAATGCCACCAGGGTATGGAAGAACTTCGAGTAGTTCTCTGGCTCCTCCGCGTCAATACCGATGTCGATGCATTTTCTAAGGAGTGTCTCGATTGTTCCCATGGACGATGCTCGGAATCGGTCGCAATTCCCTCTGATATCGAAGCTTTGTGATGTACTCACTTGATATCGTCTGATCTCTCTCTATACTCGTCCGACATGTCCGGCGCGTCTTTCAGGCCGTTCATGTGGACTTGACGAAGGAACTCAGGCGGCCTGCAATCGAACAGAGGAACTTTCCGCACGGCTTCCTGCTCAGGAAAGATTTCGTCTGCCTCTTCTTCAGCTCCGGGAACAAAGTCTACACTCGAACGCTGCCTTGAGGATCTGGAAGGTGACAGGACAATGAAATCCCTCTCAAGCTCTGAACTAATTCCTCTCAAGGCATAAGCGAACTCACTCCTGGACAACCCTCCTTTGAGCCATGTCACGTGATGATGTTTTCATCTTCACAATTTTCTTGGCGGGTGGCAGCTGTGCCACGGGTTCCACCGAAACGTATGGACTTTCGGGCTCACATGATATTATTGTGGGGTCGATGCAGATCACTCTAACGTAACGCATTATGAATATTTCGCTCTGACCTCTCCTCGAGAACAGAAGGCCGAGAGGAATCTGAAAGAGAAGCGAGATTGGAATTTCCTCATTTTCCGTGGCCATGTAAAACTGACTGAGAACGTGAATCTGTCTACATTGAGCGAAGCTTGGAGCTCATGAGAGTTGAAACGAGGATACCGAGTTCTTCGTACTGACCATGAGCTGACATTGTTGACGAGCATCGGCTCTGAGCTGCAGTTTGAAGGATGTGCCTTTCGGGATTGGGATGGGTGAGTTCCCAACAACGCTCACGACTCTAAGTACCTCGTTGTGGTCGATGGGGATCGCTTTCTTGAGTTGCACATCGAAGCTGTCGCTATAGATTATCAGGTTCCCTGTTTTGAACTTCTGCGCTTCACATCTCAGGGTGATTTCGGAGCCTACTTCTTCGAACTCCTCGCCGACTAGCCGGATTCCCTCTTTATTCTTCAAGAACTCCTCCCTGTATATTGGTATCTAGTCAGCCCAAGTCAATCAAATGTCTCATACAATCAATACAGAAGTCGGTGCAAGGGACTGTAATGTTGATTCGAATAAACTCACTCATTTGTAAGTATCTTGGACCTCATGATGTTCGTCTGATGTATGACACTCCTCTGGTGCTCTGCCTGCGCGTCCGCTGGGACCTCGAAATCGCAGGTCTTGCACCTGACTCTTTGGCGACTCTTGAGCATCTTCGTGACTCTGCAGTTCGAAAGTCAGTGTGAAATATCATATCTGAACACGAACTCTAATCTATCGGGAATCAGCTTGTATACCTATCCACTATCGAGGACGGGATCCATAATCATGCTTTCAAATCGTCAATGAAGGGGTAAATCGGAGTCTGTGCCACTCCGGAAACTATTCGTCTTCAGGCTGGCTGACTCGGAATGAGCAGAAGGCTCGCTCAGCTGGACGTACGCCCCCTTCAGAGAAACCGTAGGATTCGAAATCTTCCCTTCGGATCTGAATCCGTTCCCACAGAGAAGATATCCGATCCGTTCCCCGGGGACTGGGGCGGTCGCCGGGCGATCCAGATTCTGAGCGTACGTACCTTTTCAACGGTGCGGTCGATAATTCAAAATACACCCACTCCGGACTCGATTCCAGGAGACGGAACGGTTCTCAACTTCAATGCTTTCGATCGAAAACTCCGTTCCCCAGATCGAAAACGGAGACACCTTCCCCCTCTCCGCCGTCGGGATCGAGATCCCGTATTCGAATTTTCGCGCGCTGGGCACCGTGTTCCAAAATCGCAAAAGCGGTACTTGTAACCTCCCACAGATATGACATCCAGAGTCTCGGGCATCTGCGAATAATTCAGTTCTGAATCTCCCGTTGAGGGGTGAGAAATGCGGCCGATATTGAGCATATAGCCCCAATCCAGCACGCTCGATTTCACGAACAGCTGTGAAGCGCCAAAAGTCAAAACAGACAGTGGCCGAAGGCGGTCGTCTACTGTAGGGTATCCTTGTTGGCAGTGCGCGCCAATTCGGTTTTTCATTCTTGTCCGTGGAAATGTCTCAGAAACGCCGCTTTTCGAGCCAGGCTGGGCCAGCGAAAATGGCCAGAACCGGCGCCGATGAGGGTATGTCAGAGATTCGGAGAGATGCTCCCACCGGACCACTAGTTTCCTGATATCTGATTAATTATTACGACCCTCCGAATATGATATTTCATCCTCAGTGATTTCCGCTGCGATCCTCACGGCCCCGGAGCCATCTCATGAGCCCCCGAATCTATTTCGATACTGATTTGCAGGAACCGGCAACGATTTTGAAGCTGAGCTGGCTCTCATGGAGGACTGTGAAGCGGAAGAAAAAATTTTCAGTCAAGTGGACCCTTCTCTAGTGAGTCACAGAGCTCGATCTTCGATCGTTTAATCCTTTTCGGGAGCATAGTTTGTCGAAGGAATCAAATTCACTTTTGCCAACAATGAATTAAGGCTTGTTGATCCCTCATCATTTTTGATTTCCCCAGGTCCCAGAAGACGAAGTCATGTCCGCGCGATGGAAGAGACCGGAAGCTCCAGCGCTAGACACTAGAGAGCAGAAATTAGAGTTCCAACAAGTGGATCTCGACCATTACATCGGCCCGATCAAAGCTGGCATGACTACGGTGACATCGGGCTTAGTGCCTGTGACTCGGGTCTTCGGATCCACCGAGGAAGGTCACAGCGTCCTATGTCACGTACATGGTTTTCTGCCGTATTTCTACGTGCAGGCGCCTCCAGGGTTCAACAAGGGCAGTCTGGAGGAATTCCGAAAGAACCTGAACCAAGCAGTCCTCGGCGATATGAAAGGCAACAAGAACGTCGCCGAAGCTGTGCTCAACTGTGAGCTCGTCGACAAACAGAACATCTACGGCTACACAGACAGGGGTCTCGAACCGTTCATCAAGATCACGGTGGCTCTGCCGCGTCTGATCGCTCCATCGAAGAGACTTCTCGAAGGTGCCTCGGTATCGATTCGTTCGCATCCCTCGTTCAATTATAGACCATTCGAGGCAAACATCGACTTCGAAATTCGTTTCATGGTCGACACTCAAACTGTGGGATGCTCGTGGATCACCCTGTCTCCAGGGAAGTACACTCTACGACCTGAAGGCGAGAAGACATCCTTATGCCAGTACGAGGCCGACATTAATTGGAAAGATTTCATCAGTCACCCAGCCGAAGGTGAATACGCAAAGGTGGCCCCATTCCGCGTGCTCAGCTTCGATATCGAATGTGCGGGACGGAAGGGAATTTTCCCCGAGCCGAACAAAGACAGAGTCATTCAAATTGCTTCCATGGTGGTGCGTCAGGGACAGAAAGATCCTTTCATCAGGAACATCATGACTCTCGACACGTGTGCTCCCATCCCAGGAGTCGAGGTTATGTCTTTCGACACCGAATCGAAGATGCTCGACCAATGGGCGGCCTTCATCCGATTGGTCGACCCCGATATCATAACGGGATACAACATCCTCAATTTCGATTACACGTATCTGGTCAATCGAGCCAAGCATCTCAAAGTGAAAAATTTTCCCTACTTGGGTCGGATCAGAGGGAGTGAGTCGGTCATCAAAGAGAGCATGATTCAATCCAAGCAGATGGGACGTCGAGAGAACAAAAATGTCACCATGGAGGGTCGAGTGAACTTTGATCTCCTGCTGGCTCTGCTGAGGGACTATAAACTGAGAAGTTATACACTGAATGCTGTCTCGTACAACTTCCTCCAGGAGCAGAAAGAGGACGTTCAGCACAGCATCATCACCGATCTGCAGAACGGAGACGAGCAGACCCGCAGACGTTTAGCCGTTTACTGTCTCAAGGACGCCCTTCTTCCTCTGCGTTTATTGGAGAAATTAATGTGTATCATCAATTATATGGAAATGGCGAGGGTGACTGGCGTTCCCCTCTCATACCTTCTGCTGCGCGGTCAGCAAATTAAAGTCGTCTCGCAACTTCTGCGTAAGGCGAGAGAACAGGATCTGATCCTTCCCGTGATCAATGTCCAAACTGGAGACGACTTCACGGGCGCTACGGTCATCGAACCAACCCGAGGCTACTACTCGGTTCCGATCGCAACTCTCGATTTCTCATCGCTGTATCCGTCGATTATGATGGCTCATAATCTCTGCTATACCACCCTACTGAACGACCAGAAGATGAGGGAGCAGCTCAAGCCAGATCAGTACATCAAGACGCCGTCGGGTGATTACTTCGTCAAGGCGTCTTGCCGAAAAGGCCTGCTCCCAGACATCCTGGAAAGTCTGCTCTCGGCCAGGAAGAAAGCCAAGACCGATCTGAAGAACGAAAAAGATCCTTTCAGAAAGAAAGTGCTCGACGGAAGACAGTTGGCGCTGAAAATAAGCGCGAACTCGGTGTATGGCTTCACCGGGGCCCAGGTAGGGAAATTACCCTGTCTCGCTATCTCGCAGTCGACCACCGCTTTCGGGCGGCAAATGATCGACGAGACCGCCAGGGAGGTCGAAGCGAAGTACTGTCAGAAGAATGGCTTCCAATACGACGCGAAAGTCATATACGGTGACACCGACTCGGTGATGATAAAGTTCGGAGTGGATAAATTGGACGAAGCGATGGACCTGGGCAGAGAGGCGGCCGAATACGTGACGTCGAAATTCGTGAAGCCGATCAAACTCGAATTCGAAAAGGTTTACTATCCGTACCTCTTGATCAACAAGAAACGCTACGCCGGATTGTTGTACACCAGACCGGACAAGCACGATAAGATGGACTGCAAAGGTATCGAGACCGTCAGGAGGGATAATTGTCCTCTCGTAGCCAACCTGATCAACACGTGTCTCGAGAAAATCTTGATCGAGAAGTGAGTGGATCGACAATATTCATTAGCCCAATGGAACAGGAATGCTGGAAAGGGGTACTGTCCAAATTCTCTTTACTGCCATGGATGAAGTTATTCCTCTCTATCCCTTTCCGCAGGGATCCGAAAGGGGCTGTGAATTTCGCCAAGCAGACAATAGCGGATCTTCTATGTAACCGGATCGACATCTCGCAGCTCGTCATAACTAAGGTTCGATCAATATTTGGAGAGAAATCCGTAGATGTAGCTCCTGATTCCGGCGACTCGGGCCCGAGGGAGCTCAGTAATACATCGAGCCGTTTTCCATATCCCCCTTCCCTTTTTCCAGGAGCTGACGAAAACGGAAGAAGAATACGCGGGCAAGCAAGCCCACGTCGAATTGGCGAATCGGATGATGAAACGTGACGCGGGCAGTGCTCCCAAACTCGGCGACCGGGTGCCGTATGTTATCATAGCTGCTTCGAAAGGTACAGCGGCCTACTTGAAATCCGAGGACCCGATCTACGTTTTGGAGAACAACATTCCCATCGATACCCAGTACTATCTCGAGAATCAGATTTCAAAGCCTCTGCTACGGATTTTCGAGCCCATTCTGGGGGAAAGTAAGGCCGCGAGTGAGCTACTGCGCGGCGATCATACGCGGTCAAAAGCGGTTGTTCACAGCAAGGTCGGAGCACTGGCGATGTTCACGAAGAAGAAGGCGACTTGCATCGGTTGCAAGGCAGTGCTGTCGTCCAACCGAGAAAACGGCGCAGTCTGTGAGCACTGCGATAAACGAGCCAACGAAGTATACATGACTGAGGTTGTGTCTCTCAATAAATTGGAGGAAAAGTTCTCCAAATTGTGGACCCAGTGTCAAAGGTAAGTTCGTACTGCTCGGCGCGTCCCTCAGACTCACTTTGATCTTGAGCTCAGATTCCATCTTCGAGGCTCTGAGGGACTCGGAGCGATCTCGTGACGATAGTATTTGCTTCCAGATGCACCGGGAGCCTTCACGAAGAGGTGCTGTGCACCTCGAGGGATTGTCCCATTTTCTACATGCGGAAGAAAGTTCAGATGGATCTCCAGGACCAGCAAAAGTTGATGGATCGTTTCAAACTCGAGTGGTGATCATTTTTTGAAGTTATATAGTTTTTTGAAGAGCCCTCCTATATATCGGTTTCATCATGATTTCGACCGCGGCAGACTGTAAATAAATGGATCCGACTCAAAGAGGGCGATCCGAATTTTATTACACCTCTCTTCAATCGTGTCTATGAGGAATGTACAGTGTTCAAACGAATGAAATCGATTGTCGCGCCCAGCTCGATACCAAGAGCAACAAGCCGATGAGCCCACCAGCTTGTCTCGGGTGTAGAAGAGTAGAGCTGCTGGTCCCCAAGTGCAACGGGTAGAAGAAATCCTCAGGGAGCTTGATGTCTATTATCGGAGGTCCAGCGTACTTGACTTCTGGGGTCGAACTTACATCAACGAAGTCCACCGTCATTTCGACCAACGGCAGCGGGTGCCGAAGAGGCGTGTACCTCACACGCGCATACACGATACGGTTCTGAGGATTTATGGTGAACTGCGTCCTCATGTAGGCGAAAATAACTTCAACTCTGTACGCACATGATTCATTGAAATTGATGGCGTTTTCTTCAACCGGGACCCAATCTTCTACCATTCGAGCGTCGGAGCTCCCGTATGCCCCGATGAATCCGGAAGAATCCCCCGTAAGCATTGCCGGTAGGAGTTCTGCGAGTTCCCCACACGACGGGTACAGGCAAGCCGTTTCGACGTTCTCTCCGAACAGAACGATTCGTCCCTCGCTGTCGGTGCAGTCTTTAAAGGGAGCGGACACTGGTCTCGTGGAGGAATCCCCGTTTTTGGCAAGGACCGGTTTACCGAAGATGTAGCCAGGGTTCCCACTACGCTCTATCGGACCTCCATTCAGTCGCACGGTTGCGTCCTGCTTCGTCTCGAAAATAACATCGATCTGAATGGGCACCCAGGTTCCTCCGGGAGGGGGACTTTCTTTGCGGTGCACAAATATATAAACATCCTGAACACCGAGTGTTCCGTTGTGCACGATTCGATATTCGACTTTGTGAATGTACGAGCATTCAGTGAGGTCGGGGGTGCTATGAACAGCGCAGTCTTTGTTCGGGAAACAGATTTCGGCGAGAGGTTCGACGAATTTCGAATTCCGCGTCACGAAACCCACTCCTGTGAAGTGTTCCATTCGTGAGAAAGGATTCTCGCATGAGAACTGAGTCATGCATCTCGAGCTCCGTGGCTTCAGGAACTGGATCGTGGCTATCGCATCGCATTTATCGCCTCCCATTGCGATTGGGATACCTGAAATGAGGTTTTCGTTCATCGATGGCAACCACACGAGGGTTTCGTTCCCGAAACAGAATGTGTGGAGGTAAGTCTCGTACGATTGCTCGTTGCAGGTATCCTATTCCATTCTGCATGCGATAAGGCATGATCCATATCTTCTAGAGTCTAGAGTTCCAAGTACCGACCGAAATTTCGCGTCGCTCCGGTGGCGAGTTTGATTTTCAATGGGTCACCTTCTCTCAAACCCCTCTCGTGAGCGGAATCAGCGCTGTGATCATAATCTGCATGCAGATTGTGGAACTCCCCGACGGCTTCGAGGTATTTCAGTTTTTCCGCAAACTTGTCCGCTGTTAGGGGTTTCTGAAAGATTCGCCAAAGGAATGGCTTTGAGACCGAGGCCTTAGCTGAGGGGGAATAATGTTTCGCGACGAGGCTTTCCTGGAGAATATTTACCCCCTCGGTGTAGGAGTCTTTTTTGTACACGTGATCGTCTACTAGACAGATCAATCCACCGATGGATCTCTTGATGAGATGCGTCTGGTTCGAAATTAGAATATCGCTATTGCTGCAATACGGAACGTCGTATTCGTTGGGCACTTCACACGGACATTCTGTAAGGACATCTTCCCGATTAGAACGGCTCGCAGTCTTGGAAACGGAAGGCGTCAGTGCTGAGAGCGTACTCGGAGATACGACGATGGGGCCGAGGAAGAACGCTAACCGTTTTCGAAGGCGTCCGTCACAGTTCGTTCGCAGTCTGGATCGCAGCAGCAACCCAACTCGCACAGGTTGCTCAGATCGCAATAGCACCACACGCTTTTGACGCATGTACGCGTTGATTGAGCTTTTTTGGACGTCGGTGGAGCCGCGGTGGTGGTTGGAGTCTGCGTCGTCGTGATCTGAGCTGAACCGCCCCCGGCGAGACAGACAATGACGACGGCCACGATGAAGGCTCTCATCGTTCAGCTTGTGCGCACTCCGAACTTGCTCAAATTCCTCAAGATTATCGAGATTCCCAGACGGATAACGCCCGTGCCAGACGTCAGGAGTTTGTATCGCTCGGTACCGGCAGCCAGAGCGTCGAAGTTTGTTATTTCATATCCTCCACCCAAGAATTGTCTTTGAACTTCTTCAGCATTGCAGCCGACAGGCCGCCACACGGGCACCGTCAGATTATGGAAACCAGCCTTGCAGGGCAGGTGGGCAACCCCGTAGCCGAAAATTTCGGACCGGTTCAGGGAATCGGTTTTCCAAACTTCGAAAACGATGCGGGGCCAGTCTGGAAGGATGGGAAAATACGTTTCCGAGGGATGCGTTGAGGACTCTGAGGGCTGTCGGTTTACTTGGATGTAGTTCAGAATACTCAAAATTTCTCTCCGAGCCTTACTCTGAAATGTTTTGGTTATCAGGTGACTGTCCAAAGGGTGGTTCCACACGGCTCGCGGCTCGATCCGATCGCGCGTTGTCTGAGTCCTCCCGGTGAAACTTCCTTCCAAGTGTGCCCACCCCTCACCGAACACTAATCTATAGTCACAGTAGAAGGACGCAGAACCTCTACCAGTTTCTTGAACTTCGAATGACTCTATCTGACCAATTAAATGGAGTTCTGCCATCGTCCGGCCATTTCAAGAGTGCGGTCCGAGAGCGACCTGCATTCCCGTGTTGTGAGTCCGCTGTCATGGTTACTGAGAACTCGTGACTCGTTTCCTCTAAAAATGTTCCCGTCTGAAGTCGCCCTTCGAGCTCCTCAAAGAGACCACTTTCGATTGCCTCGTTCAGCCCTCACACACGAAACTCGAACTGGTCTCAGAATATCCTGTCTGGTCGATTCTTCCGAAAGCAAAGAGATTATGGATATATTCGGAACCCCCTTCTGGCTTCGCGTTAAGGAAATTCTAGGACTCTCAAGGAGAAAGCTTTTGAAAACATTGAGCATTTATCCACGCCCCTCTTTTCGAGCAAATTTATCCGAATTCGATTCTATCACAGCTATGAGTTTCGAAAGTTCAAGTCCTCCCAGGGCATCCAGATGTAGTCGAATCTCGCAGGATCGGCTAAACGGGTGACGTTCTTATCCTCCACAGGGTGCATCTCATGCCGATAACGATGGAGTCTCTCCATGATTTCCTGCACCGATCGATGGGCTTGTAAACTTGTAACTCATCGGATTGGAAAGTTCACCTTCCATCCCTCGGTCATGGAAAAAGCCCCGCAGAAGCTAGGAGGTCATATAGCGACTGCGAGAACATCATCTGCATTATCGGACGTCAGCTCATCTTGGGCTCACCTTGACAATATCGGGGTTGTCCGCGTAAACATCATCTTGTTCACAGGGATCTTCAGCAATATTGAATAGACACGGCCTGTCAACTCCTCTGCATATAAACACCGGATCGTCGAGTTTGCATTTTATCGTCCTGCTGTGATTGGCAGCATCCGGAGTCCGGAACCAGCCGTCCATCAGACCGTTGGACTTGATCAACTTGAAATCACCCAGCCTGTATGCGGCCGTGTGATCAACAGGATCGATGTTCAGCAGGAGCCTGCGTGGAAGTTGAGTCGAGAGGGAGCTCTTATAACAGGAAAGTCACCATGATGCTCTCCTCGATGGGGCAGAGGAAGAAAAGTCACTCACTCGGTTCGAGGATTCTCACTGCGTTTCTCAGAGAGACTTTTCCACAAAGACACACCATCCAGCTCAGGGACTGACGACATTCCCGCAGCGCTGAGAATGGTCGGCAGAACGTCGACTATGTGAGAAAGACCGCCGAACTTCCCAGGTTTCAGAACCTGCGGGGCCCAGAAGATTCCCGTCCCTCTCACACCACCTTCCCAGAGTGTGAACTTTCCCGCTGTAATGAGATTCGGCCGAACCCACTCTTGAAAAGCGACAATGATGCCCGTAACTTGAAACATACGTGGATACTCCGGATAGGAGAAGGTCTCGGATGATCGACGATGGAATAAGCATGAGCACACGCAGATATTCCCAGTGAGCTCGAGAGGATCTCTCGGACACCTCACCTCTCAAAGGATAATTAGAGCCGGGGGATCGATCATTGGCGTTAATGGGGCCCCCGTTATCGTTGGTGAAGAAAACCAAGGTGTTCCCGGCAAAGCCGTTCGCTCGAATAGCACCCATGACGTTCCCGATGGCGGTGTCCACCGCCGATACCTATGAAGAGCGATTAAACCGGTCGGTATCTTTCAAACTGAATAAGGGAAGACCAGGAAGGACTCACCATGGCTGCATAGCGTCTACGTCGGTCATTCCTGATCGACGAGCTGAATCTGTCTACGATTGATTGAGGAGCTTGAAGGGCCTGATCCGGGTTCCCTGCGTGGACTGCTTGATAAGCGAGGTAGAGGAAGAGCGGTCGGGACTTGTTGTGCATCTGCAAGGGCCTCCGTATTGAATGATCCTGCAATTCTGTCGCGAAGAAATGCGGGAAGAATCTGAGCCGGAAGCCACGTACCCGCAATATGTCGGTACTCCGGTGAGTGTAAATATCGGTCGAATATTTCCCATTGAACTCTTTAGCCGGAACTTCATTGTGCCACAGGTCCAATCCATAGAAGAGTGAACCCGGAACATCCGAATCGTCCGCTCCATAATGGCTGTAATGATCGCTGCTACCGAGGCGGTAGCCGAAATGATCCTTGAAGCCCCTCCGAGTCGGGAGAAACTCCGACCGACTGTGTCCCAGGTGCCATTTACCGACGATATGACAGTCGTAGTTTTTGTCTGCGGAGCGGAAAGAGCGGCAGGAATACTCACTCATGTTCCGAGACATGAATTGGCTCCCTGAAAGCCACTCATCGCTCACCGTGTAGGTATTGGGGCATAATCTTGAAGTTCGAAGGCAGACCGAAAGGTGTCGCCGCGGAGATGACGTCATGTTGGAGACCCAGACGTACAGGATACTTTCCCGTCATCAGAGAAGCACGGGATGGAGTGCATATAGGTTGAGTGTAGTAATTATCCAGCACCACCCCTGGCAACCATTTCCGATTATTATCTGTCTTCGCCCTCTGAGTAAGGCTCGAATTCGATGGAGTGTCCTAGCAGCCTTGAAGAAATTTTTCTTCACGCCCGGAAAGAGTATCCACATTCTGTGTTCGTTGCCGGAATTCACTGAAAGAGTGGCGTGGCTCCGTCTCTACGAAGACTTCGACCTCCTCGGGAGTTCTTATGGGATAGCCCCCGCCTCGTACCGCCGCAGCTCAACGTCTGATTTCGGGGGGCCAAGGGTCCTAAATGGAGACCCGCTCCTATGCTCCAGCATCACGGATGAAGATTTCGGGGGAGGGGGCATGGCACCCTCGCCCCCACCGGGAACGCTGCCGCTGTAAGCCCCTCTAATACTAGGCCACCTCTAATCAACATTCATTACGAATTCGAAACGGAGAGTGGTCAGGACGGTCACGCTGACAGACATCTCACAATCAGATCTCTGCGTACGGGTCTTCAACCTCGAGTGAAGTTTTGGGCGGAATCCCGCGCATCGATGACATAATGAGACAGAAATGGGCGGCCGTTGCACTTGTTCGTAAGTATTCTGTCTCTCCGCCGAATTCTGTAGCTATTCATCGAACAAACTTACCCTCCTCAGCCAATTTGTCGATATTGGGAGTGGGAATCTGAGAACTCCCGTGTAGCCCAATATCATCCCAACCTAAGTCATCTACAACTATCAGAACAACGTTTGGGGCTTTGGTCTCTCCCGAGGGGCCCGAGATGTCACATGTACCGAACGAACGTAGGCAGAATAGAAAGAACAGAATTCGCTCCATGATTGTGCCGAACGATGGCGCGAATGCGATTCACCGCTGTATTGCAGGGGAGACAGCTTACAGAGGTCGCCGACCGCGCAGCCTATCTTGGTGGAGGAATAATTGTGGTTTCCCGAAGAGCCGCCATCGCTCCCTAAGCGGAGGGACGAATAAGTTCAAATTTTTTTCCGCTCGCGTAGGGAATCTCCTAACGAAAATGCTGTATAGGTGAAAGCCGTATTTTAGCGTTCGGTTTCTACGATCGAATCGTAGGAGAGGTGATGCGAGACGGTGTACGCAGGCGTCTATCATCGCTCCCAGATTGAGATCGCAGGCAGATTGGAAGTCGCCTCTGACAGAGGGAGGAGAGAGCATCGGCAGAGAGACCGACCGATCGGTGTGGCGAGCTAATTTGACAACCAGCCCCTTTACAGGAACGTCCCATTAGCTCCTCGAAAAGGGAAGAAGGTTCCATGCGTCGGTGTTGTGATGGTCGACATGCGAACAAACATTACGGTGCGGCGAGCGAGTTTTACGGCCTAGGATTCCGGTCCATCATGGGGACCAGTGGCGTAAGTTGACGGAGTGCCGCCCGGGGCGGATCCCGATCGTGCCGCCCCCAAAGCCGGTGGACTGGCACCTCCGATCTCTTCCTGATTCTATGCTTTGGATCAGGTGTTGCCCCGTCCATCATTCATTCATGAAATTGAATGCGCACTATAAGGAGAGCCAAGTGAAATTCATGTTTGATCTTTACACGTTCGCTGCTATGAGATGCGCCGGCGGCCCTCAGGTTTGCTGACGCTTGAGGCGCGCCGGCGCACCTCATCGGGCTTTGAGGTTTGGGCTCCCCGGCTGAGCGGGATTCCGCAGAAACCAAGGAGTCCAATGTATCGACGGCTTCTCCGATCCGCGATTGACCACCAGGTACAATTGTCAGGGGCTGGAGGCCTCAGAACAGTATGGGATTCCAGTATTCCCAGTTCCCAGACATGAATTTCGGGAAGTCATCTTCGTTGTCTCAACGGTAGCGGCGGGCATAATCTCTCTCATTTCTCAAAGATCTGAGGACGACGAAGTGGTTCCGTTACGGCACTTACTGCGTCATGACGTCATGACTCTTACTGCGCGGTGCGCCATATTGGAAATTCAAATTCAAAAGGTACTCATGTCAGATCACGCCGGCACGCACGCTGTTCTCTTATTTGCTTCGTACTCGTGGGTCAAAAAGGTCATGGATGAAGCGGGTTGCAGCCAAGATCCAAGCCGCAGTCTCCGATCTACTAGGAGGCGAAACAACACAGTGGTGAGAGATCAGGAGACGCATGATTTTTTCAACACCTCCAGCGACAGTCTAGCAGGTCTCTACTCGGGTTCGACTCCGGAGTTCTCCCAGGACTGCGAAGACAGCGACACCGACGACACAATATCTCACCAGACCAAAGACGTGCCGACGGAAGAGAGCCCCGTTTTCGTGTGGGGCGTTGTTAGAGAGGATGCCCTGGACCGGATGAGCTTCTCGGGTCGAGACCTCTTTCAAACCCACGTTTCCTACCCGCTAGATCTTGACTTCCAGCGACCTGCGCAAGTCTACAGAGTTTCCCTCGGTCAAGATGTTATCGAGCTCATAGCATCCGAGACAAATCGTGGCGCCAGGAGGCTCATCCAAGCTGGAGGGATCAGTTCGAACAGCGGATAGAAAAAATGGAGAGACTCGGACCCCACCGAAATGAGAAAATTCCTCGGCCTCGTCATGTACATCGGCCTCGTGAAATATCCGAATATAACCGACCATTGGCGCGAGGATTGCCTGTATCGAAATGAACTCGTTGCCTCAGCAATGAGCCGCAATAGATTTCAATTGCTCCTCCGGTTCATCCATTTCTCCGACAATGAAGAGGCTGACATCGCTGATCGATCTAACAAATTCATCAAGAGTCTGACTCTATCTCAAGATAAATTCTGTGAAGCGATCAACCCGGGCGAGAAGCTGACAATCGATGAAACCATGATTCCCTTCAGAGGTCGTCTGTCCTTCTTGCAATACATGCCCGGTAGAAGCCACGAGTACGGGGTAAAAGTGTTCAAGCTCTGCAACCCGGATGGCTATACCTTTCGGATGAGAGTCTTCACAGGCAAAAGCGATGGCATTTCGAAGAGCCTCCCATCTGGAATCGTTCAAGAACTTGCGGAGCCCGGTGCACCCCATTTGGGCGCAGCCGTTTGGGCGCGACCGTTTGGGCGCGGCTCTTTAGGCGCGGGCCGTTTGGGCGCAGGGCCGTTTGGGCGCCGAGCCGTTTGGGCGCGAGCCGTTTGGGCGCGAGCCGTTTGGGCGCGAGCCGTTTGGGCGCGAGCCATTTGGGCGCGAGCCGTTTGGGCGCGAGCCGTTTGGGCGCAGAATTTCGTGCTCGAAGAGCCTTTTTGACTTGGCCGGGGAACACTGTGGCTCTTCGCCCGCAGTGTCTAATTCTCCTGAGACTGCTCCCTCTGGAGAGACTTTCTTAAGCCACGTTCTCGAGTTCGTTCATATCGTACATCTGCACGCAAGGGCGACATCAACAAACCAGGTCCGGAACGATTCGAATATTTCCCTCGTAGAATGAATCGAGCGCAATAAAAACCATCGGAAATTCCTTGCTCGAACTTCCATCTATTACTTTTTATGTGCCGTGAAATCACATCTGGATCCTGAGTTTAGGAAGCTTCTCCTCTTGTCCGAGGAAAGAATCCTGTCGAAAATGTCTCCGGTCCCAACTCTAGTCAAATCGAATCGAGGTCGGGACAAATTGTGTCATGATGGTTTCATGTACGTGTTCGACCGATCCAGTTCAGATCTTACGATGGAATTCTGGAGGTGTCAGTTTAAGAAATCGTGTAAGGTCCGTCTGCACAGGCTCATCGCAAATGGTGAAGTCGTTAAGGTATCAGGATCTCATAGTGATCCTTCGGATGCGGCAGGAGTGGAAATCGCAGGCAGGAGGACGGCGATGAAGCGTCGTGCGGAAGAAACGACAAGAGACGCCCGGACAGGTCATCAACAGCGTTCAAAGTGGAGCGCCTCTGGCTGTTCAGATGGAGTTCCCTTCGAATCGCGTTTTAGCTAAAGTAGTCAATCGTGTTCGCAAGGCCTGTGCGAGCGCCCCCGCGCTGCCCACCCATCGAAGTCTCATAATCATTCCAGAGGATTATGCAGTCTACGAGCCCACACCAGGAACGTCAGAGCGTTTCCTGATCGGGGATTCGGGTCTCGGAGACGACGAAAGAATCCTGATATTCGGCCGCGAGTCGGTTGCTAGCTGGATCGGACTGGTCGACAAAATCTACGTCGACGGTACATTCAGTCTGGCTCCCAAGCTCTTCCAGCAGGTGTTCGCAGTCCTGGCAGAGCGCTCGGGATTCGTCGTTCCTGTGTGCTACGCTCTCCTTCCAAACAAGAGCCAGGCTACGTACACCAGAATGGTCGAACTCCTGCATCAAGAGTGGCCTCAGTTTAATCCGATGCAAATCTCGGTCGATTTCGAACTGGCTCTCGTCAACGGGTTCCGGAGTGTCTTCCCGAATGCTGAAATCAACGGGTGCCTCTTTCATCTAGTCAAAAACATGAAAGCGAAGCTCGGAGATATTGGTCTCATTCAACGGTACAACCGAGATCCGGATTTCTCGTTGTCGGCTCGGATGATCCCAGCTCTCGCTTTTGTTCCGCCGGCACACATCAATACCGCGATGAGCGAACTAGCGCCAGAATTGCCAGAAGAACTGATGCCCGTGTTGAACTATTTCGAAGATAACTACATCGGCCGTTTGAGATTAGCTCCCGGCGCAGAAATCGTCCGCGCCCCTGCTCGCTTCCCCATCGCAATGTGGTCCGTCTACCAACGAACAGTGGACGGTGAAGCTCGGACGAACAATTTCGCCGAAGCAGCCCATAGACGTTTGCAGGGCGAGTTTGGGGTGGATCATCCTAGTCTTTGGAAGTTCATAGACGGTATCCGGAAAGTCCAACAGAGTCGAGATGTAACTTATGCTAGATACGTCGCAGGTCACAATCCAGAACCGAAGCGAAGTAAGTACGTCTCCGCCGATGAGCGAATTCTCAAAATTGTGAGAGAATTCGGTCAGAGGACCACGGTGGACTACTTGCGTGGGCTGGCTAGGAATTTCAGGATGCAGGCATCGAACAGCGGACCGCAGACTGCCCCTGAATCGTCGGAGTCAGAGTAACGTGACACGTCAATGCCTCGCGCGTCCAAATGTCGATACGTTTAGATAAGCCTAACAACTCGCTCATCCCGAATAGTATGGTTTGAGCGGAGAATTCGAAGACCTAAGTTAAAGAATAGGATGCATCTCCGATGCCGTCCGTGTTCGTATCGAGCGCTATTTTTTTTTCTCGCCAAGAGCATGATAATCTTCATACGCAGATGGATCCACTCAGAACTCAGGATTCGCTCTCGGAAGCCTACGGGGAAGTACTTCCGGCGTTTCCGTCTAGTCGTGATCCAGATTGTCGTTCCACTGGAACCGAGCGATTGGGACGAGAATTGGTGATAAACCGTAAGCCGTTCACCGGGCAGCCAAGACTTCCGCGAGCAAACAATTCTGCGTCCTGATGGCTCGCGCCCAAACGGCTCTGCGCCCAAATGACTCGCGCCCAAATGGCTCGCGCCCAAATGGCTCGCGCCCAAATGGCTCGCGCCTAAACGGCTCTGCGCCCAAATGGCTCGCGCCTAAACGGCTCTGCGCCCAAATGGCTCGCGCCTAAACAGCCGCGCCTAAACGGTCGCGCCCAAACGGTCGCGCCCAAATGGGGCGCTCCGTGCGGAGCCATATCTCGATGCCGGACGGACCCTGACAGCGGATAACTAGTTCACCTCCGTGCCTCTCGCGAAGAACCTCCTACGGAGGAAAACACATGCCTGGGAACTCTGCGCAGCGATAGAGAGCGTCTACCCAAAAGCGTTGTCAACTCACGCTTAGCTCGAGGTCAAGTTGTTGGGAGAATGTCAAACGAGGGTATAGTTGTGGGGAAATGGTGAGGTAAACGAGACATGTATTTCCTCACAACTAAGCATGATCTACGAATGGTGACGTTGTGTCAGTCACGACGAGGCGCTGGGCGTCGAAAGGGCCAACCCAGCGGCCATAGTAGAGTATAACAAGACCAAAAAGGGTGTGGATAAGTCAGATCATATGGCTAGCTCCCAATCTCCGCTTCGAAAGAGCATCTGATGGTACCACAAACCACAAGGTTGTTTTCAAAATCCTGCTCAAACGGCTGCTGTCAACTCGAGAATCATCTTCAATGAGCTCACGGGGAACGATATAACGATGAAAAACTTCCGAGAAATGATCGTGCAGGATTTTCTCGGGATTCAAGACCGTACCCCGACGCCTCTGATGCCACGTCGAGATGAACGTCACGAGCTAATCCGAAGCGAGGGCTCGGACAGGAGGACCCGAAAGAAAAGAGGCAGATGCCAAGACTGCTACGCCAAGATCACGGCTTCCCAGGGTAGAAGTGCTGCTCAAGGCCTCGAAAGAGTGAATACAATGTGTGGAGAATTCGAGAAATGGCCGTGCGTTCCTTGTTTCGTCAAATCGCATTGAGGGCGCGACACTTAAGATCTGGTGTTCAGCCTCCATTGTACTATTTTACTTATGAGATGAGCATTGTTCGATGTCTCTTACTCAATCATGATATAATCAATACATTCAAAGCTTTTGAACCTTCTCAATCGATTTTTCATTCGAATCTCGAGGTTTGAGGGTCTCCGTAAAATTTACGCTCTCCTATTGCCATGAGGTACGCCGGCGCGCCTCAGTCCCGGTAGTCAAGGTGACCCGTTGCGTACGGTTTCCGGTCAACATGGGTGGCAGGAAAAGTCTTGAAGAGAATGGTCTGACGAGATTCGAGATTGCGGAAAGAGTTGCAAACATCGTGCATCACACCATATGCGACGTTCGGCGTCTTCGAGGACGCTCTCTCTCTTCGCGCGGGATACCGTTACGATGAAACCGAAGGCGAGAAAAATCTTCAAGTCTCAGAGCTTCGATTCGTTCGGGTCGCGGCTCTGAAATCGTCTGGAATGCCGCCCCTCTGAAAGTGCCGCCCGGGGCGTACCGCCCCCCCCCTCAGGTCCGCCACTGACGGGGACCATTTCTGCTGCACTGACGCGGACCAGTGTCCTTATACTAGGTGGTTCCGCATGCGGTCTTTTCGAATTCCTCGGGGACTGTAGGCCGTAACGGAGAATGGTCTCGGTGAACCCCTCTGTTTTGTGACTACAAGTCCGAAGGATGTCTTTCCCTATTGAAAAATCCGAATCCCGGGAGGCAGAACCGATTTTCCATAGTCTCTATGGAAATGCTATTCTTGAGAACCGAGCGAGATCGATTCGTCCCCGATCAAGCGGACAATACTACCAGGGGGACACCTCTCGGGTCAGATTTCTTCGATGTCCCCAGCGTCGAAATATTTATCGAATTCGCTCTGTAGGCCGATAAGAGATGAAGTTCCTAAGTAGCGAGCTCTCGACTTTTTTTCCAGAACCCATCTCCAACGAAAGCACTGAATTTGATGACAGAAGTCTACGCTTTTCATCACCATGAGGAACGACCGTCAGAAGGGAAAATGGAATTTTCCCCAGAACACTCCGATCGATCCCGATTCCCGAGGGAGGAATGATATATTAGCGTAGGACTACGCCCCTAGTCGGGGCAACTACATTCGATCTGGGGTCGAAGAATTGAAATCTCTCCATGGATGGCTGAGCACCGCGCAGCTGAAGCTCGTCTGGGTGGATATTCCCAGCGTAATCTACATCTGGATTCCAGGGCCGCGGAGCAGCATTGATCCATGGATATCTATGCTCCAAGATATAATTATTGCTCTAAAGAAGATGGTCGAGACCGAGGGCGAGAAAGATCGCGGGTCTATTCTACGCCACAAGCAAAATGCGCCACGTCATGTCTGAGGCAAGGAAAGAAACCCCAGTTCCGAGCCGGCTGGGTTGCTCGAGGGCAGCTAGAGTTGAAGGGCCAACCCGGCGGGATACGGGATCCCCAGGCTTTCGCGAAAATCTCCCTCGTCCAAGGGGTGCGCGATTTCCCTTCGAGGCAAAAGTCTCGGGAATCCAAAAGGAATCTAAGAGATGGTCCACATTTCATTCCTGCAGACATGGGGTCATCGCGTTTCTCTCCATTGAGGGATTTATCGATTCCCGCAGAGCGACGGGAATGTTCCTGGGTGAACTTCAAAGAGCTCCGTCAAGGAGCCGACCCCAGATCAGACGCATAATTCCAGTTCGGTGAATTCTCCCACTACCAATAATTCCCAGAGGAAGAGCTCACAGGCAGAGGCCATGGCATATCGCGAATGTGAATGCAGGATAGTGGGCTGGAATTCGGAGTGCCGCAAATCGATCGATATCGACGATGTATCTGCATTTGAGTAAAGAATCCTTAGAAGTTTCGAATGACGGATACTCCACAAGCTTCACTCTCAAGGGCAACTCCGAGACAGAAAGGAATTGGATGTTGAATGAGGAGCTGTTTGTAGACTGGCACTTCAATGGTCTGAGGATCCTCGCTCCTGTTCCACCGCGAGAATGCGCGGAATTCCCCAGGAAATCATTCTCAGCGGTCAAACGACAACCCACGGCTATTTCCCGAATGAGAATCCTCGTTTCTGATCTATGAAAACCCTTTAACAACCTCGAGCTCATTGTACATCGGCAGGGAAATCTTATGAGGATCATGATTCACATCCGGGGCCGAACTTCAATAACTTCTACTATCGCCCGAGATTATGTATATATCGAACCCTGATTGAAATCCCCCGACCAATCCTCGGGATCTTCGGAGCGTTTCGTCAGAGGGTCGCTCCCTCGTGACTCACCCTCTTTCGGTCTCTGACTGAATGACCGATAATTTGAATTTTGGCGCCGGATTCCGGCACATAGAAGATTCGGGATTTCAGGCAATTTGATTGATTTCTCTTGCAGGAAACTCATTTTGCGACTAATCCGAACTCTTCATCTGAAGCGACGAGATGGGCGAGCTCGAAAATCGGGGGAAAGAGGCGAAGTTTATGTTTGCATTACAAGCCTCAAGTTGCGTTGCTACATCTGCCCGCCATTTAAGCGAGAGCGTCTAAGACTTGGTGCATGCAGTCGGAAGTCACTACATCCACCGATCCTTCTCCTTCTGTGCAGTACAAAAGACTCTGTTAGAAGTTTAGCTCCGATCGTCATTTTCTCTGTTGAAAAGATGTCGGACGAGGAGTACGTGGTGGAGAAAGTCCTCGCTAAACGAATTAATAATAACAAGGTGAGCGCTGCAGAAAGCGATGGAATCCTCCGACCGTTGACCACAACAATATTCGAGCTCCACCAGACAGGTGCCGGGCTCTCTTTTTCTTCTCGATTTCCGGCGCGGTAGCGGTTTCGATTACTTCGGTCCGACTTGAGTATTTTCTGATCAATTGTCGTCAAGAATGTCAATCACCGCAGGCTTCTGTTGACTCGTAAGAGTCACGCGAGAATGTTGAACTTGAATCAGAGTCAACTCCTATATCTTCCTTTAGTCGGGTGCATAAGACCGAACGTGGAAATTCATATCCAGATCAGGAACGCGTGATTGATGGCGTCGATTGGCGGGGCAGTACCATCCCTTGACTTTCACGAGGAGATGCTCTCAGAAGTGGGATCGGTGGACTTGGAAGCTCTGAGTCATTGTGGTCGATCGAGAACTGATGCGACCGCCCATCTCCCTCGAACGTGGAGAAAAACAAAGTTGAGCTCCGATCCTCAAGTCTTGGATCTTCTGGTAATGCAGCGGTTTGGAATCGTAATGAAATAATCGGCAGTCAGAAGTACAATCGGTGCCGTAGCGACCAGCCAGAGCTGATTCAACGCTGGAAAGCTCCCCAGTAGATCAGAGGGCATCCGCATACGAAGCTAAGATAAATTATTCTTGGATCGAGCGACAACAAAACAGCCATCAGCGTCGACTGGCTTGGAAGTGGCGACATTGAACATTTTTCTTCGATGCTCATCTCGAGCAGCCTCGCACTGGAACGAAATGGGGAGGAATGAAACTCAATTCGGAATTCAGACTGGATGGTCGCTCTCCTTAATTCTCTGAGTTGTACCAGGATTAGCTCCACGCTCGACATGTTCATCTATATCATTCATTCAATCTTGGTCCTCGACATTGCAGGTGGAATACTTCCTCAAATGGAAAGGGTACGGCGACGATGACAATACCTGGGAACCACAGGAAAACTTGGATTGTCAGGAACTGATAGAAGCTTTCGAGCAAGAACAAAAGAAGGACACGGCAAAGAAAGTGAGACACATCGAGCTCCGAGACAACTCGCACCTCATGTGCGATTACGTGCATGACCTGAATGTTTTTTCCGCGGAGGCCGTCCCATTCATAGCTGACCTCTTCGTTATAGGACGTGATCAAAGTCCGGAAGGCGGCACCGTCCCAAAGACTCCCCGTAAACGGTGGGGAAAATTCAGGCAAGAAAACGCCACCGAAAGTACCGAGTGAAAGTTGTAAGCCCAAAGGGTTTGATCGTGGTCTCGAACCTGAGAAGATCATTGGTGCTACGGACTCATCAGGAGAACTGATGTTTCTGTTGAAATGGAAAGGCGTCGATGAAGCCGATCTGGTCTCGGCAGCTCAGGCCAACATCAAATGTCCTCAGGTGAGATGCCGGATGCGCGATGAACTTAATGTACAAATCCTTATTTCGGAAACTGGCTTTCCGTGGCTTTCGACGAAAAGGGAAATGACCGGACTCCCCTATCCGTTGCAGGTCGTCATCAAGTTCTACGAGGAGCGGCTGACCTGGGCTCCCCCCGGAGGCAATCGTTAATATACATACATCCGCGGATTGTTCGTGAAGATAGCCAATCATTTCGCTCATGAAAATTATTTTGACGTACCAAAACTGCACCATGTGCTTAAGAGGATCATCTCCCCGGAACATCTCTGACGTACGTCGGTTGTTGGAACTCAAGAAGAAAAGGTATCGATGAATGTGGAATATCGAAATCGTGTTCCGAGCGAGATGGAGCGGCGGGTCGTTGCGTGGATGCTCTCAGAAAAATAACACACAAGTTCGGATGGAATCCATATGTCGATTGAAACATCATGTATAGCGACGGGGAAGGTTTCTCAATAAATTGTAATTTTTGCAACTCCGTTAGCCGATCACCTTGAGAGAATTCCCGAGCAAAATGTTCCCCCTTCTCAGTGTATCTCGATTTCAAACTTTGGATACTGGAACTAATCTCAACGTTTCGGCTGTAATACGATCATATAAACTTAACTTTCCGATGGATAGAATGGATGAAGAATAAATGTAATGGAGACATGGGATCTCTTCCCTTCGATGAGCTCACGTGTCCATGGTGAAAAATACGATCTCTTGAGGATAGCAGACCAGCTCACTCTCTCTAGAGGAGCTTGAAGCGCGGACGCAGTCTCACGGAGGAGGATCCAGGATTCTCCTCCATCTTTGAGGGATCTCAGAGGGCATACATAGCGACCAGAAGTTCAGAATCGGATTCGCTGGAATGCGCGAATGAGGAAGAGTCGGTCGCGGGTGGCGCCTAAGCCTCTGACCCAAATAGAAGGTACAGAACACGCTCCCTTATCACCCTCGTCGGCCTTCTTTGCTGTCCGACGCTGGAATGCTGCATGAAATTCGACCGATACGACACCATATCGTCCTTTTCGTCTTTCGGTCGGAAGGAATTTCTTGATCGGGGAAGAGCACCAGTTCAACCTGGAGCAGCGAGTTGACCGAGTGTCGGTTGCAGAATATGCGTTCCTTGACCTGCTCTTACGTCAGTGACCCTTCGGAGGATTCCGTTGGGCGACCGAGTCAGATTCCTCCATAAAATGGTTTGGAAACTCGACACTTGTCAGAGAAGACGCTTGGCATCCCTTCAAAAAATCTGCCGGAACGAAAAATTCTTCGACATTCGCTCCAAAATCGTCTCCTTGTCCATTTTCCCTTCAAATATTAAGGAAATTGCCTACGTTCTGTGCGAGGGGTATCTCAATATTCTGAATTTCATGCTAACAGCGCGCCTGTCACGCTCCCCTCTCCGTCGAGTCGAATTCCGGCGCCAGAGAGCGTCTGCCTAAAATGGGAGGAGAACAACACCACAACACAAACACAACGCTCTTCTCTCTGAACCAGATGAGCGCACAGTCGTCTCCCTTGATGTGTTCGAATGTTCAATCCATCGTGAATCTCTGAAGTTCCTCCTGATAGCATTTAATTACATTAGGCAAGATGTCTGAGGGAAATGGCTCAGCTGGCTCGAGCAGTGCTTCCTCGGTTCCGAAGTCAATTCCCAGAGGTGTTCTCGCGAGATCAGGACTTCCTCTGCCGGCCGGCACAAGGTAATGAATGAACACAATCATCGTCATGATTCCTCATAACGAGAACTCTAAGCTTACGGGATAGATTCATTCGGGACGATTTCCTCATCTGATTCAAATTCCTCGTACTTTGTCGTGTCATCATCGGGAAGATGTCACATGGCATTAGGGGGGGGGGCGACAAAAAGTTGAGGAATTAACTCTTGGCGAATGCCTTCTCTACCCAATGCGGAGTCGGGCGTCTAATTCAGATGACTGATCCTTCAGATTGAGCTCCGGTTTACGTGCTCCTCGTGACCTGACTCTGGGGGGAATATCGATCCCGAAGAAGTCGGTCACACCGAATCTTGCTCCCAACCTGAACCGGAAAAACGCAGCCACGTGAGTACTGATCAGTTCTCCTACGCTGTACATATGCCATTTGATGACCGTGTCAACGATCCGTGTATATCAGCTTTTCCTCTGACGGACGGGAGGGTATCTCAAGAAAAATGGATGGATACGAAGATGGGATGCATCATCAGAAGAAATAAAATTGAAAGCTTGTATGCTATATCGCTGATGAGGTTTGCATGCCGGATATCCCGAAGCTCCAAGTAATCGAGCTAAACCTCGATGCATTTGCAGGAACGCCGAGAATTCGAACACGCGGGGATCGAGAGGTGGAGCCCATCCGCGCACAGATCGGGGCCGAGGAATCGACCGAGGTAGAGGTCGGGGCAGAGGACGCGGTCGCGGAGCGTCGAACCTCATCCAACTTGACGGTGAGATATTGAAGAGAGCTTCGTCTGGAAAATCCAGCTATGATGCAAGGACTCTCTTCTGAAGTCTGTTTTCCGTGGCAGGAATTTTCGACGCGAGTACCGCCGGACTTCCCGAGCGAGGTGGCTGGAGCGCTGGAGGTGGTGGAGGAGGGGGGCGGTGGAGGCGGAGGGGGAGGTGGAGGAGGCGGCAGCAGAAGTTCAGTCGGCTCACTTAAAGACACCAGTCTGCCGAAATACATTCCTATCGATCAAGAAGAAATGGACGACACGGACGAGACCATAAGTAGAGTAACGAAAGCTGAGGTACGTATATCGCTCATTCATCGTGGTCTTCATTCATGGGAAGCTCAGGCTCGATGTCTTCCGCTTGCGGTAGCGCTCGAAATAGATTTCTCCGCAATTTCTCTACAGTTCATCGATTACGGAGATAAGGATAAGGGGGAGTTCCCGTTGATGCTACCCCTGAATACAGCCAACCACGCATTCGGTGTTTTACCGAAGATCGACGGTGCGATGGACGACGAAGATGAGGCCCGACCGAAGATTGTGACTCGGAAACCAAAGGTGAATTATTCGGGAGCAGTTCATTTTCCTCGCTGATCGCTCGTGATTTAGACCTCCCCATTTCTAAAGAGCTTTTGTTCTCCGTAGAAAACTGACCTCAGTCCGGAAAGAGCTAGAGACCTCCTCAAAGCCCTCTGCCTCGGAACTTCGCTCACGAAGGGAGAGGAAGACGGTAAATCCCTCACGATGTTCCAACTACCAAGGTGAGAAGCACCAGAATCCATGAGTCTGAGCGACGATGCACAGCATCGAGCGGGATTGTTCCCTCCGTGAATGAATTTGTCCGGTTTTAAATGGATACTCTCACATTCCCGAACTCAATGGAGAAGCTCATATGCATAGCACACAGAAAACGCTGGAAATCACAGAATAAAAAGCAGCCTATCCTTATCTGACAGGCTGGTGTGCTCTGCTCATGCTCGGCTAACATCGTCAATGTTGCTTCTTCCAGACTTCCGAGTCCGTCTCAAGCGTATGAATCGGCAGAACGGAAACCTCCAACAAAAGATAGTCAGACCGGCCCTCAGCAGTATAAACTGAAAAATCTACCGAAAGGTGAATATGTGTGTCCGTGACTACTCCCCAGGATGTGGTTCGGAGGCAGTTGGATCAGTGAGTCTTTTTTAATCTACCCCACGATGAACATCCGATTGTGGTTCCAATTTCAATGAAATATTTTCGAAGGGACTCTGGGAAAACTCCAAGTTTTGAGAGACGGGCGAGTGAGACTGGTCACCGGGAGAGTGACCATGGAACTCCAGATGGCGGCGGACGTTGCGACATATCAGGTGAGCTACCGCAGGATCCGAGTAAATCATGTCTCCCGGGTCTTCTCTTCGTCCGTCTCCCGCTTATCTTGAGGCTTCAACTTCCAGGAAGTTGTGGATCTTCAAGGTCGGGTTGTGGTCCCTGTCGCCAAAGTCGAGAATAGAGTTGTCTGCCGTCCGACAGATCTTGTCCACAGTCAGTGCCGGACAAAGTGTTGACATCATTGTACATACGTCAGAATATTTGTTGAAGAAAGAAACCGCAGTTGCGCCCAGCTTTGTGTTCTACTTATCAATTACGTACTTATCCTGACTCAGCGACAGTCACACATCTGTCTGTTCGATGATTCTCTGTCTACCGATACCGCTCCGGACACTAGGGTGTTACATTCGGACATGTGGAATCCGGATGTGCTTTTCCGGGAAGGGGAGACGGAACCTCGACTGCTCTTGCAGACTCTCTCTCCCAGGTAGGATTACTCGATGCACAAAGCCTACAGTTCCCCCGACGGGCCGACCTGGATCAGTTCCATTCACCATCGCCATCGCGTTTTTTTATCACCTGAACTTCAGCTCGCGATGAGTTCGGATCCTCATTCTTAGGTTGCAACTCCCGCCCTGCTTTCTCCAGGAAGAGGAGCCCCCATTCCTCCGCCCATCTCTGAGCTGGCTGGATGCCTGCTCCAAAGGGGGCTGCCCAGGACCGTGTCATGTCGTTCGAAAAATTGCTCCGTGAGACCTGAGCGGGGCGACCGTATCGGGCAGATGGGGGAGCGAATCGAAAGCTCATAATCGTTCAATACGACCCCAGTGTCAGACTAAAGTGCTTCCCAGAATTTCAACTCGACGGGGATTCCTGGAAGCTGGGGGTTTGGTACCTGTGAGGAGATCGAGAAGTGTTCGGGGCGATGCATCGAGGGGCCGGAAACCACAGCGGAGCTTCGGGGCACTGACAAACGTGCATGGCGGGGAATTGAGAACTCGCGAGGTGACGCAGACCACAAGTCCACAAGTCCTCAGAGAGGAAGGAGCGAGCATCGCATGATCAGCCCCAACACTGGACGAGGGGGCAGCGGAACGTCGGCCGACCGAGCTCGGGGATAAGATTTTCCTGTTCGATATGTATCCGGACGTTGGAGACTTGTAGGTGCTCAGCCTCTGTCCCGACCTCCACGCAGAAGGATGTCGAATCAAGGGCCCTGAAGGATAAAGTAGCTGTTCTCCCAGTCAGATTCCTAGAGAGAGAAACAGGAACCTACAGCCGACCAGAGATCGGAGGTCCTCAGAAATCTCGAAATTATTCATAATCAATCGCGATGGGGAGGCGCTCTCGTTATCATTTGGCCTACGAGTCGGGGTCAACGAAAACAGCCTCTCGGTCTCAATCTTCCCGGGAGAAGACGAGACGTCTAGTCTTGGTCTTTAGAAATCGGATCGCAGAGTGCTTACATTTTATTCCCGGGCAAGTCCATGGGCCTCCCACCATCAAGGGTGAGTGTTCTTCGTTCGGGTAAGCAGCATTGGACTCCCTAGTCGAAAACGTAACGTGGGAATAGTCGTCCAGAGTGCGAGTGACATCGCCGAGACTCGTAGCGGGATTCGGTCCTCGGTGGTTACGCAGAGGTTGCGTGATCGGCCTTGGCAACGAAACCTGCATCGGAGGTCAACATCGGATTCCGTGGATCGCCTGAATCCACTGTGACTTCGGACGTTTTAGGCTCAAGCACCAACGAGATAGGCGAGCGCGCTAAGCGGTCTTAGCTTCGCCGCTGCTACGCTGACTTCATCCCGAGAGGAAAATAGGTGGTTTACGACCTGCAGCAGGCAACTTCTTCCAGAAACTGCGGGAGCGGTAGTCTTCAAAAGCTCAATGACATCAATGCTCTTCGAACGGACGTCGGTGTGCCATAGATGGCTTAGGTCATGACGTCATGACAGACTCATTTCCGGCTGCAAGTCCGTTAGTTCTCAGTAGCAGGCCGCAGATCGGAGGAAAAGCTCCTGTGCCGGAGCAAGATCGGAGAATATGGAGCTAGCGAAACATCAATCTACATCGAGAACCTTCATCTGTCGTATTTCCAAGGTGGGGAATCTGATCCGCACCTCAGGGAACGACACACGCACCGTCCCGATTTCTAATTTCTCTGTCATCCGAAGCTTCCTCGGCTCGAGCCCTGAGCCTAGTACCTCCCAATCCTCCGGCTGAATCAATGCTGTGCAGCCTTGGCAGGTTCAAGTCGCCCTCATTGCGGAGACTCGACATTTCAAAAACTCCAACTGGATTCTAAATTTCAACGAATGTCCCGATTCCCCTTCGTATTCGAATCAGAATCCGTGAGCATCTTATGGCACCCGTCCGCGAAAGACTCAGATAGAATATGTAGGAGCAGTTCCGGCTGTGACCTCTTTCAAAACATCTGGATAGACTGGATGCGAAGAAATGCACGATACTCGGAGAGCAATAAGCGGTCTCCGGCAGAAGATGCCCATTGACAGTTCTGCTGGCGCGGCGGCCGCCGCCGATCACCCCGTCTGGTCCTTGTCTGGCCATTGTTCGGAGACACCGTTGTTCGAGCGAGTCCGTTTCTGTGAGCGAGTCTTTCACCTCTAGCTGAAAGGAGGCGAAGCTGAAGAAGGAGGCGGTGGAGAGGAGGGAGAGCTCCACTTCTGCAGGTCCCATCTACATTCAACACTCGCGCTGCCGCCGCCGCTCCAGGAAAGACCCTCGTACGAGACAGTCTACGAAGGTAGGTGGTTGATTTCTCTTTCTTGAGTAGGAGAGAACCGAGTCGTCTGTATCAGGTAGGGCGCTACCGCCAGCCGGCTGCCAGGTTTCAGAACACCAGGTGGAGAGAATGTGTCGAGGTTCCTAAGGCGATCCGACATCCGACCTATCCGCTGGCTGGCCTAGTACCCGGTTGCCTAGTTCGCATCGAGTCAACCACCGAACCCCCTCTCCCTGCGAACAGCTGTGCGTTGCCGCGGCGGCAACTCGGAGCAGAAACGCCGCTGTTAGAAAGGCATCTAGTCGACCAGGTAGCCGGTCACTTGTGCTCTTGGCGATTCACTCACTCATTCATTGGGTCGGTAGATCGGTCAGTCAGTAAGCCAGTCAGTCAGTCACTCACTCACTCTATCTGCCCTCGCCCGTGAAGTGGCGCGTGATTGACGTCTCTCTGCGTGCTTGCAATCCTCTCTGCATCATGTCTGTCTCTCCCTCCGTTCCGGCGCCGTAGACAGTGGCGGATGCGTTCGAGGACAGCGCGACGCAGCATCGTGCATCTGTGCGTGCGTGTTTACCAACATGATCAGCCGGACAATGTGCGAGCGGATTCGATGAAAACTTACTAATTTAAGTTCCCCCGTGCCTAACCCCGGTGCCATACATTCCTTCGAATCATCGATTCCAAGCCGAGCAAACCCGACGAAATGTGCGAAGCCGCGGTACCCACCCACCGTGAGTCGGGAGAGCCCCGAGAGACTCAACTGAAACAAATCTTCGATCTGTGCGACCGAGATCGGAGAGGCTACCTCGACAGAGATGAGTTCCGAGAACTGGGGCGAAAGTTTTTTGGGGGCTCGGAGGAAGTAAGTCAGCCTCGATCTTACCTTTAATCAAATGATAGTCCGCGCAGAGAAAATGCATAGGTATCAATATTCCGGTCTTCTACTCAGTCGGTGAAGTGTTCCGCAGTCGTTATTCCTGGAGTTCCGTCGGAGTTCTCGCGATCGTACGGGGAGGAACTCCAGGAGGATAGGAATGCAGGTTGTTAGAAGTCAAGGGCTCCTTCGGTTCGCGAGAGGATAGCATGAATAGCCGACTGTAGTTTAGGATATAAGCGATCGGCCGACTCGCATAAAACCGCGTTTATTTGTTTCGTCTTCGGAAGAGCTTTCAAGATAAACCGTATGAAGTTCCGCGACGCTTTCGAGCCAAACAACGATAATTTCGCTCGCGGAGCTTCTAGCACACCTCGCTGAAAGCGAATTGGACAAGGATCCGAACCACGCGAATTAATGGTTCGGGTAAGTGTTCCACCGTTTACCCTAAGTCGAGTGCGAGGGGATCTGCCCGAGCTGTCGACGATCGTCCAAGAGCTGCACCGTAATGCTCAGCGAAATTTTGCTTCTGTCTCGGTACGGTCTAGCATCTAGCATACATGGGAACGTCCGTCTCGGAAGCCACCATGCGCGGAGAGTGCTCAGTCCTGATCGTAGCGATTCCTCCCGTACGGAAATGAGTCAGATACCGTGTATATGTTTCCGGATGGATACACGATCTCTAGGCAAACAAAAGGGATCCCGGATCGAGACGATGGAACTCGAGGAATTCAGAACGAGCGGTTTCTGATCTTGAATTTACTTTAATTCTCGTGTAAGTATGCGTATCAAAATTCAAAACAGAGCAGAGGATTCCTGAGCAGCCTGTCTTTCAAACTACGGCATGCAGATCCGTTAGGGTGAGGTAAAACGCAGCGGCCTGTCTTGAGCGGGACGTCTTATCGGAGATATTTTTTGTGGATCTATTCATACATTTCCTTGGGCTCAACTTGGGATCGACAGGAAGAGTTTCACAGTCGAATGCTCACCGGATGGGTGATTTGTACCTCGACGCTGGTGACGGTGGCCCAGCTTCCTACAAAAGGTGAAACTCCGGGAGAAAGTCTACAAAAACTACGATTACTATCAAAATAATCATTCCACGGAGCGTTTCGCTCAAGACTGACGCGCCGGGGGCAAGTTTGTTTCCACTGAGTCGTCTACAATCGTCCGAGGGAAACACTTCGGCACTGCCTCAGTTTTGTGGCTCTATCAAAATGACTTGTTTGTTTCTGGAGAGATGCAGTCTGCATTCACTCGCTAATCATCCCAAAGGCCTGCAGAGTGTTGGAATCCGAGTCAATACGAAGATGAGCGCTTCGAGCGCTCCCCAGTCGCTCGAAAGCGATACCTGGGAAAACGGCTGCTCGGATTAGTTCAAGGATGCGAAAGCTGATCCAGTACGGAACGCCCCCGCAACTGGCGGTTCCTCACGGGGCTCCGATATGAGAAGCAATCGTCATCAACGAAATCATTGCGCTCCTGATTCTCTCTAGTCGATACGCCGTGGAAGAAGGAACAGCTTTGCATTTTCCTTCCGATGCGGCTGTTTGCCTCGGGCTCATGGTTTTGGAACTTTCGAAAGAGTAAAACGACGGCGGAAACACGTAACATAGTTG